TAACGAAAAGATGGATGGATTGCCAGTAAGGCTAAAATTCACATGTCTTCTTGACCTCCAAACATTGAGGGAATCTCAAGAGCGAACCATCCGGCCTAGGATTCTGAGGTCTTACAAAATCTCATGCCTCCTTAGGTGCTCTCAAAAAATGAGCCAGATCTGAAACATGAAACGCCCTCCGTTATCATCAGAATGACCAACTTTAGTCCAATATTTTCAAGATTGGATCCAACGGCCTACTCGATCAAATTAATTAGACGTATAGATTAGTTCTCTTACTTTACTAAAAAAATTATTTTGTGGATGTTTTGTTTCAGAAGGTATTGGACAATAATTCTTCTATAGGATAGTGATCTTATCTTTCTAGGGGTAGGCCTAGCCAGAAAATGGAAAAAACACCAAGACGCTAAAATTTTCATTTTTCAGAAACTTTGAGCGCATCTCTAAGCCGGGCGCTGAAATTTTACAAAGCTTCACACAGGTACTCTCTAAAGAATGTTTTTAGCATTATCTGAGGTACAGGTATGACCCACCACGCCACACCGAGTCTTAGTTTTGACCCCCCACTAGAGCAAAACTTAATTCTGCTTATTATCAGTGTGATTAGATCATTGGCCTTTGGCTCAAAATAACCTTACACTTAATTATATTAGTAGTGAATTTTCCGTTCCCTAAGTCATTTCATGCGGCACAATCGGTTAATTGGAGGAACCATTCCATGAGCGCATTACTAAACAGATCAAGCATAATAGACCTGACTACAAGCTGTCCGAAGTAGACGGTTATAAAAATTTGGGATTGCTGTATACTATTAAATTTTTGGATTCTATGCGAGATTCTAAATTCCTATACAGGTCTACAGGGAAGACAAAATTTGTCCGACAGCTTGAGTTTAATTTGTACGAGAGAGAAGCGCCTAACAACGGTGTCGCAGAAGGTCGAGCAACCTGCCGCGTTGCCAATATATTACACCACAGGCTGCTACAATAGGTTAGATTACTGTCAAACCCAAGAAGGAGGTCTGTTCGAACGTTTTATTTAATAGTTTGTTTTCATTTTGATTAGAATTACTTATTTCAATTTTTATTATTTTAGAATAAAATTATCCTTGATTTCCACCGATGGTGATAAAATCAACATATCCTGAGTTATTGTTACATTTTGCGACAGCGCTGCGGTTGGAAAATGTAGCAAATAAGGTTACGCAATACAAATTATCACTGCCTGCATGTACGCAGGTGAAAGCTATTTCGAAGCAGGACGACACACTAGCGCTAGAGGGGTACTGAGCTAGTTCGCTCAACTAGGATAGAGGTGGAAACCTTGCCTTGGAATGTACAGGATGCGGTATTATCTAACGAACCAATGATGCAATGTTGCAGAATTTGTGGCGATCCTGACCTTACATTTCGACCGAAAATGGAGCGCCGTTATGACCGATCGGGAATCAGTCATAAAGAGATTCGACACAATTCACAATTTTGAAAATGTGTAAGCCCACAATAAAACTATTATCAGAGAGTAAAGAATAAACTTACGCATATTTCCAATATGCATCTTAATTCAAGGATCTGGTGTAACCTATTGGCAACGCGGCAGATTGCGCGTCAGTGTTGCTAGGCATTGCGGTGATAAGCTACGCTATCTCTTTCTAACATATGTGTCTATGTACACTTCTCTCTCGTACACAGTAAATTCAAGCCGTCAGACAAATTTGGTTCTCAGTGTTTATCATCCTATAACTAAGTCTAACCGTTCTTGAGATATCCAAACCTTTGCATAAAAATGGCAAATGCAGGCAAGTTAATCATAACAATCTTTTCTCGTGTTTTGCATTAAAACAAAAAATACAAAAGCTCGACTGCAGTAACTAAGCGAATGAATAAATTTTTAATTGTGTTGTCAAGACGAAGTTAAGAACACCTCAAATGTTAAGAACTATCAAAACGTTTGGGCTATAGCCTGTGAAATAGAATTTTCATAATTCACCATTTTGATTTTATGAAATTATGTATTCAGTGTAATTCGGACTGTTAGGACAAATATACATACACCTCGAATATCAAAATCCAACAGGTTGTTTAAGCTGTAGTCCATACTATTCGTCATTGTTCGTCAGAGCGGTTCGGTGGACCTTTGCTCTTAGTTAAAAGTCTCGTCGGTCTGTTAGTTTGTCAGGTCTGGCCTACCCAGATACCAAATATGTTCAAGGGGAAAAGGGAAAGAAGAAAAGAAAGGAAGGAAGAAATAGAGCAACGAATAGAAGTGAATAATTTGAAATAGCTTAAGCATTATTGGTTTGACTACTCGAATAGTTTTGTAACTCCAAAAAATAATTTTGATCGGTTTTGTATACTGAAATAATTTTGGTTGGTCTACAATTTAATTTTGATCACAGTGCGAGGCGCGGCCTGGACTGTTTGCAAACTTGCTCGACTGTGTGGTCTACTGAATCACGAAACAGAGGGTTGTTGTGCGATTCAGCTTGATTATAACGCCGCTGTGCCTGTTGTTTTACATAATCCCTTAGATATGGGATATCAAGATATCTGTGAACGGTCTCATTTGACACGTACCAAAAGGCGTTGGTGATTGTGCGTAGGGTTCTGCTTTGCAGGACTTGCAGTCTCTGCATGTGCATCTTCGCAAGAAAATACCGAGCCGCGCATGCGTAGGTGATTGCGGGTCTTATGACCATTTTATACAACCGAATCTTGTGGATCAAACTTAATTTTGAATTTCTCCACAACAAAGGATAAAGCTGCCGAAAGGTCATTTAGAATTTTGTTTTCAAAATATCAGTATGTTTCCGCCACGTCAACCCCTTGGCAATGATGACTCCAAGGTATCTGACAGATTGCTCCCATGGTATACGAGTTCCATTCACTGATATCTCTGAGGGAGAACCGCGACGTTTTTTAGTACAATAGATTGCCTAATTTTGATTACCAGACCAAGACTGGGCTAGCAGTGTAGTGTCATCAGCCCAGAGATAGACAAAGTTGCTGGGGCAAGGGACGTCATGTATATAAAGTGAATAAAGAATTGGTCCTAAGACTGAACCTTGAGGAACACCGGCTCTCAAGGGCCGTATTGTTGGCAAAACATTGTTAATTTTTATCCGAATCTTTCTTCCTCCTAGAAAAGATTTCAACAGTTTTAGTAGCCACCTTGTCAAATGCCATCTAAAAGCAAGATACCAGTACTTTTGTTGAGGGTAAACCCCCTGGTTACATGCTCCACCAGTCGGACTGCCTGTAGCTCCGTACTATGCTCGCTGTAGTCCATCAAACAGGAATTAAAATTTGAATTTTCACCTTGATTGAATATATTAAACTCAGACCTCTATGGATACAAAGAAGGTGGATGCAAAATATGTATTTTTACACTGTTTACTCAGTGTTCATCTGTCCTAGTTACACTATTCCAAAAATTAAGGGAGTAAGAAAAAAAAAATCAGATTTTTTCGGAGATATTTGGCAGGCTGTATTTCATTGAAAAATCGTCTTATCCAGTCTGTAAAAACGCGTTTTGGAACATCAAAATTCTAGTTTTCAGTTTTAGGAGCAACGGTTCTCATGCAAGTTATTCTTTTTTTTGTGCTCCAGCTACCTCAAAGTCCTAAGGCCTAAACACCCATGGGGTACCGTGAAGTAACAGGAGGATACAGGGGAAAAGAGGGGAGGGGTGCCACACGGACTCTAGTGAGGGAACACGTGTGCATGCAGCATGCTCCCATTCTGGCCGCGCCTATGAGATCCAGAACCAAGAGAAAAATTTCTCTTGGGACGGGATTCGAACCCTCGCAGCGCACGGCAACTGATCAGAAGACGAAGCGTCTACCACTGCGGCCACCGCTGCTGCCTTGAATAATAAAGAATCCTTTTGTCATCGACCATTGGGATCTCGGTAACCAGTGATCGCACAGACAACGTAAGGATATTTCCGAAAACTGGAATAAATCTTCTATAAGATTTGATTGCAATCTTTGAGGTATTTTTTTTTTGTTTTCGCAGTATTGATTTTAAGAGAGTAAAACAAGCTACTATTCCGGACCGACAAATTCCTAAATTCGCCTTTGAGATCTCACAAAAAATATTTTCTAGATCCGTCCCTGCTCAGTATTTGTCTTTATTGCAATAATCCATGAATAAAGGAATAACATTTTTAAAATTTCTGTTTTTTAAATTGAAGGTGTTACATGTATTCACCTGTGACAATAAAAGAAGCAAAATGATTTTACAATTTTACAGAATCTTTTTATTTGAATCTTTGCTCCTTTGATGTCTTTCAATTTTTAAAATTGAATCGGTCCGGAGAAACGGTATGATGGATCGATCTGCCATCGTGCAGAGTTATTAGGGATTCATTGAGATATAAGAAAACCTAAAAAGATTAGCCTTCTTATGAGAAGTTATGCGGTCGATTTTAGGAAATAAGGTGAAAAGTAAATATTTGTAACTCTTTTTAACTCAACACTAAGCAAACACAAAAAATCCGATGCAATCAAATCCTATATGATATTTATTACAGTTAAATACTTACATTCTCTGTGCGATCACTGGTTATCGAGATGTCAGTGGTCGATGACAAAAGGATCATTTTTCATTTAAAGTCAGATATCTTTGCTCCAAATGATATATTGAAGCTGAATAATCGGGTTATCTGATCTATATGTTACTTCGTTTAAGCCGGTGGACTAAAAAGAAGGAAGCAACAGTTTTGCAATCAATTTTTCTTGCGCCATCTCTTAGAATTGCAAGAGAACCGTTGCTCCTAAAATTTTTCGGCAAAAAAACCTGAAAACTAGAATCTTGATTCTCCAAAACGGGTTTTTAGAGTCTGGATCCATTTGCCACCGAAATACAGTCATTTAAAAATCCAATCAAAGATCAAATCAAAAATTTTAATTTTTTTGTTGCTCCCGCAGTTCTGTTGAGTAGTTTACTAACATGTGTTTTCTAAACAATGAAAATTGCATGGTTTTATTCTTGTTTTAGGGCAACTGGAACAAATTGCTAATGAGATCTATAATTTGAACTTGAATACATCTGTCGTTGATCAGGAAATTTCAACTGCTCCATCTGGGAAAACTTTGTATATCGTTAATTTGAGGCTCAACTTTGATAACTCACATTACGTAAGTATCGAACACAAATACATAGGTATATCGTATGTGTTTGCTTGAAAACTACACCAGAGTATCTTTCTTATCAGATTTTTTTCGGATTTGTCATTTTAATGATTTTCTCCTTATCACAGCAAGATTCCTGCTTATCATAGAAATGACGTAAATTTTTTGCAGTATGTTTATTACTGAAATTCCATAAATTCTTTACCGGATTCGATCCCTTCTGGAAACATATCTACATATAATAACTCGTCATTTTATTGATGAGATGCAATCTAATAATAGATGTGACCCTGAATGACTTCATATGTCGTCTATACTTATTATATATTTTGGGTCATATTTGCACCTTCAATGCCCTTATTGGTAGTCTATGACGTTCATTAAAGTTGGTATTAACTCTTTATAGGGATATGTAATTATCCTTCCATTAGCCGCTGCTAACATTTTGGTGCTAATTAGCAACGGAATTTCCCCTTTCTGCGCCTACCAATTTTGCAGTGGTTAAAACCATAGTACGGCTCGAGTACGTCTTTGAGGGCCGTTAGAGTGTAGTTACTATGGTCACATACAAAGTGTAGGATTATTGTTAAGCTCTATCCATGCTGACAGTAATAAAATAATGAAATTGAATAACAAAGTAAAGTAAAAAAATGCTTAACCGCGATATCAATGAAGGTTTGAAGGAATTTTCTCGCGCTTCAACAGCAATGTCCTGTTCATCTTGCCTTAGCCTGAAGAGGAGTATGTTAATTCTACGCAAAACTTTCAATACAGTTAACGTAATTGGCAACAATTAATTGTCTCATATTACTATTTTCCATAGTATATAGAATCCAGTCCCCATTCATTGAATCTTAAGTCGTCTGTTCTCATTTGTATGTTCTGCAAAACTGTTAATAGTCAGTTTTCGCTGAGCGTCAGCTCCATTTGCCTCTGCCCATCTACTACGTTGAAGCAGATGACTGGAAGTATTTTCTTTGCTATCAGAATATATGCAGTTTGCGTAACCTTTCTCGTTTATCTGAATTAGGCTGCTTTCAAATCACCCACAATCGTAAAAAGGTCGATGTTTGGCAACTCTATTACCGGAATCGTCGTTGTGAATAATTTTACGAAAATTGTATTAGTCATTATCATATTAATCATATCTTTTATTGACAATTATTGGGAATTTGTTCTAATTTTGCATGTTATATTACTTCTGAGGTACTTAGGGGAAACCCCGGGCATAACGAACATCCCGGAAAAATCGATTTCCCCGTTTTATATCCAACCGTGTTTGACTACCAGAAAGCAAAATGTATTTAAGAAAAAATAATGTTTGTTATACAAATGAGAAGGAGGAAGTCAATGGTTTTGATAGGAATCGAGAAAACTCTTAAATAAATTGATTTCGGTCAAATCAAATAATGAAAAGTGGATGCTGTATTCACCCGTAACCTTATTTTTAAAATGAACCACTTACGTACCCGTCATCGAGTAGTGCATGCAAAAATAACATAAGCTATTTGACTGAAAGTTAATGAATTTATTAACTTACGTGGATTATGCCTAACATGGGCATTTATCTTTGAGAAAGCGCTCACAGCAAAAAGTATTTTGGTTTCTGAAATGGCCGGTCTCAATGAACTCTTTGGACCTACTTTCGTTCCGCATTATTACTGGAGATGAAGAATGGGTTGCCTCTGAACAAGTTACACGCGGTTTGTACGGATAGTAAAAATATAAAGGTTCAAAATACTCCTATAGCAATTGCAAAGTTTTAGTTGGTGAGTAATGCAGCCCCCCCTATTCTCCAGTATCGGTTTCCTTCCGGTTTTCGCCACCTCTGTGGGTTCTTTGAGCAAAATATTCCAAAGTTCTACTCAATCGGCATCATGATTTTACTAAAACGTTGTAGAGAGCTTACAGACCTAGATGGCCAATAAATTTTTGTATGAATTCATTTCTTTCAAGTATGGCTACTTTGGTCAATTTTTAACTTCGAAATGTAACTCCTCCAACCCAGTACTATTTGATTTCAGATTGAATCGAAAAAGGCAGCAAAAGCAACCCATCTGCAACTTACCAGCTGGCTACCCGCCTTCTCATGTGACCTCCTGTTCGAGCTCTTTCCTTTTGCAGTCCTTTTTGACCCTGCTATGACTGTTGTAGGCTGTGGAGGCAAACTACTTGAACTAGCCGGTGGGTGCAAGGAACAGTTGTTGAGGCAACCTCTGGATAACATGTTCAAACTCAGGAGGCCGAAGGGTATAGCTTTTACTTGGAAAAACGTAAGCAAAATTACAGTCACTTGAAACTACAGAGCTGTATTAGCTGAAACAACCCGACTCCTATCAACATGGCTTGCTCAATCCAAAACGGAAGCTATTACAAAAATGTATGTTTGGCCCCTACAAAGCTTTTCCGTAGTTGCCTTTTATCAAAATTTCATCAGAATACGAGAGGTAGTTTCCGAGCTATAGGGTTGCTAAGGCTAGACAGACGGATTGACCGACAGACATGAGTGGCACGATTTTTTGTGATGTACGTATCATGTAACAACTAAAAAACATAAAATCTCATATTCGTAATTTTCTTTTTTCGCGATTACCGATTACAGTACTTTCTCACCAATTGGCATAGGAAGTAAGACCACTTCAACTCAACTTATTTCAAAATTTTTTAATACGCCTCGGTACAATCTTGCGCTTTTTAAGACTCCCAGTATTTGAGAGTGTATGCATTATAGATAGATCAAGTATTTGGACATTAACACAGAATAGGTAACCCATAAGCAACATTCAGGCAAAATCCCTAGTAGAACTTTCAGCCTCCGACACATAAGAAACTGGCAGCGGCAGGTCGCACTGCCGTTTGCAGCATCAAGCGGCGGAAAATCGACGCCTAATCCGTACAGGTTTGGACTTATTGGTTCCTTCCAACAATAAATTTCCCATAGTCCCGAACGGTCATATACGAGTACATTTAGAAGACCAGATCAGAACAGCTGGTAGCAAGGCAACATCACACCATTAATTGGTATGGATGATTGTATATACGTATGTAGGTTTTCACAGTGAGAAATTGTTTGCTGGAAATAAGATAATAATTTAGTTAAAATATCAGCTCGCCAGCGGCGGGAATAAAGTAATTTGTAGAATGCATTAGGCATCATACATCAACAAGACTACATAATACGCAGTGAGATGTGCTCAGTATGAAATCCCATCGTCACTCGGCTTGAATTGTGTCAATCTTAAATATAAATATTTTCACAAAAACACTCCATGCTAGATTTTTAAAACCTGATAGCTACTGTATGTTTTTTGATAACGCAATGAGGTTATTTGTTTCAAGCCATACAATTTTACGAAACAGCGAAATTTCAATTATTTTTCTAGAATTATGTAAGAAATTAATAGAAAAAAGTGGAACCATACTTCTACATACCTTCTTATAAATTACTGTTGAGAGAATTAAAATTTTGCAAACTTAGAGTCATTTTAGTTACCCAAACATTCTAAGCATTGTTAGCGATATATGCAACCATGGCCGGCATGCTTAGTTTCAGAATTTTAGAACAACCTTTATTTCTACTACGGCTTGTAATATCGAGGAAGTAGAAAAACGCCAGATAGCAAATTTTCGCATTTTTTTAGGTGTTGACACTAATGAACTTCTGTAATAATCAGCAACGCTGAAATCATTCAAGAAATTAAGTTTGTTGATGCTCTCAAATTTTACAGTTTTATTTGTTCCTGCCTCATTATTATGTAGACATGCTCTTGGTGCTGAGAACATAGATTGTCTGACAAATATTAGCTAGAGTGGTTCTACTTGCTCTATACTGTATCAGTCATAACTCATTTTTCCAGAGTTTTAATTCAGTGTCTGCTTTCGTTAAACAGTTTTGTGGGTTTAGTATTTTCAGATTTACCTTTAATACAATATGATTTTTGGTTCCAATTTGACGGCTTAGATTTCATTGACTTGTGTCTTATTTGAAATTAGTTTCCTATCTTTTCGCCTTCCGGTTTCTATACTTTTTAATTTCGTCCACCATATCCGACTCTCATAAAATTACTTTTAAGTAATTAACCGTCCATAGCTTTTTGAATTCGTTTTGATCCCATATTTTATTTACACTATGGTTCAATTCCAGTTTAGATCAAAGTTCGTCGACAGAGAAAGACATTCAATTAGGGTTGCCTGCAGACAATTTTGGCATAATTTTTACAGATATCCCAACCGCTAAATACCTGTTGACAACGATAAAGTGTATTAGTGCCAGTATCAAGTATACTAAGTGACATATAAATCCGAACACCCAGTTTAAATGGTTTCATTTTAATAAAAGTTGGTGAATGTATTTATCTTACTGTAAATAACAAGTGAAAAAATTTTCAGCCTTATCAGTTGGACATTCCGGTTTTTATACTGTTTTTTTTTTAATTCACTAACGCTCTAAAAATGAATATTTCAGCCGCAGTAAAGAATCAACGTTGGCGGATTTTGGTTCTTGACGTCCTTTACGATCGGTTACGATGCCTAGAGTACGGAGACCTGTACGATTTCGTCTACTTAGTGAGTTTGATAGGGGCCGTATGGTGGGACTTCGGGAAGCTGGACTTTCTTTTCGGGCAATTGCAGTTAGAGTGCAAAGAAGTGTAGACACTATGGTTAGGTGTTGTCAGGCATGGCTTCGAGAAGGCCGTACGCAAAGAGCAAGGGGCACTGGACGCCGCCGTAGAACAACAGACCGTGAAGATCGCCGCCTAAGATTATTGGCCTTAAGGGACCGTTTCTCCACTACCAGGTCCATTGCAAATGAATGGTTTGCAAAACACGGAAGACCTATTGGCATGCGAAGTGTTTACCGACGAATGAGAAGTTTTGGCTTGTTTCCATACCGCCCACACTGGGTCCTCCCTTTAACTCGAGAACACCGACGTAATCGCCTTGAGTGCTGCAGACAACGGTCACTCTGGGATCAGGAATGGAAGAGTATTGTCTTTAGTGACGAGTCTCGATTTTGTTTAGGCATGCACGATGGTCGTGCCAGGGTTAGAAGGCGACGTGGTGAAAGGAGGAATCCACAGTTTTTTGTTGAAAGACATGTTCATCACACTGTCGGAGTTATGGTTTGGGGTGCTATAGCTTATGGTTCCAGGTCACCTTTAATCTTCGTCAGAGGTAACATGAACGCGCAGCGTTATATCCACGAAGTTCTAGAACCTCATCTTTTACCCTATCTTGACACCCTGGCAGATCCAACTTTCCAACAAGATAATGCCCGACCACATGTTGCAAGAGTCACAATAGACTTCTTTCAACATAATGATGTCACATTGTTACCATGGCCACCAAGATCTCCCGACTTATCCCCAATTGAGCACGTGTGGGATATGATGGGTAGGAGATTGCTCAATTTGCAACGTCCTCCTCAGACTCTAAAAGCACTTTGAGAGGAGTTGGTGGTAGCCTGGAATGAGATACCACAGGAGGACATTGAGCACCTGATCAGAAGCATGTCTAGGTGCGTTGGAGAATGCGTAGCACATCAGGGTGCATCCACACATTATTAAAGGTCAAAGGGCTTTAAAGCAGTGCAATTATTTTGAAATTTTTATCATTTACTTATTATGTATTATTAAAATAAAACCATTTAAACTGGGTGTTGGGATTTATATGTCACTTAGTATATGTCAACCAGGCAACGTAGTACCATCACGTTGACGACAGTGCCCTTTACCATTGTCAAGAAGTACTTTTTGGTCAAGACACTACTTATAATCTTGCTAAAAACCTCAAATCGCAGTTTGAACCAATTTTGCGATAGGTTCGTGGTAGATAACATGAGATTATCGTATTCTTTTGGCTGTAAACCATATTTGAACGTGTTTATTAAGATAGATGAATATAATGTTTTGTCTAGTAATATAAGCTCATTTTTACATATCACATGGTCAGTAAGGCCGCCAAAATCTACTTTAACTTGAACGCCTAAAATCAGATAATCTGAAAATAGGGAGCTACAATCAAACAAATGGATAGTCTAAGGTCCTGTCAGCAAACCTTTACTGTGTATAATAAAACCAGATCCCGTAGCGAAAGATAAACCCACATCAATAATTAAAGTAAGGGAAAGTTTTCTCCGAATGTAAAACAAATGCGTCGTATATATTCACAGAAGGAGAAGGTTTTTGTTTTGATTGGGTTTCCCTGTAATGCTCTTGTGCCCATTAAATTAATCGAGAACGGGGAAAGGGTAATTGAATCAGTGGGTTTTTATCTGAATACTCTGCGCTTTACTGCCTATTTTTATCTTTTTTCCTGGACAAGTTTAATGGAATTGTGGACTCTTCAAAAAGTGAAAAGTCCGGTAGCTTTGGCTCCTTATAACTTTCGGTTGGCAGGTTTTTGTATGAGGGAGCTACTGACATTTGTACATATTTCCTTAAGCTTAATTATTTTTATATATCTCATTTTGAATTTTAATATTAATTAATCATTGTTCCATCGGATTGCCCATTCGCACCAAGTATGTCGACAATTGGGGCAGTAGCTCTTTTGACTTGAGAGCAATTTTTTACACCGGGGGCGGGAAGTTAATGACATTGTTCAGTTAGGCTTAGCAAATAATTTCGATATAATTTGTAAAAACGATCATTGGTTTCCAAACCATGAACTTGGGTATGTCAGCATTGACGGTTATCAAGCGATTTCTAGTTTTAGTACAGTGAGATGGTGGTGTTGTCGTTTATGCTAAAGCAGACTTATGTGTCTCTCCTATACAGTTCTTGACAAGGTGTGATTTCAGTAGTTTTAGGAATAAGCTGTCACACTGGGCTAGTTAAATTATGTAACTGGTGCATTTCAAGTTAAATTTGGTTCTAATGTTGACCAAGTAATTCAAGTTTTTAATTTTTTCAACAGCTTTCGACTGCACCATGTGGTCAGTGGTACTTTGAGGGGCCCTAACTGCTAGCTAATATATTCACCACCATGTACAAGAGAGACATGACTTTAGGGTTAATGTAACTGGAGCTTATCTGTCAAAGTATTGAGTTTTGTTTTGCTCAACGCAAGAAGCTAAACAGTTCCGGAGGACTTACTTGTCGAGAAATAACTGAAGACAGTCTTTTTTCCTTAATAGAAATTCAGAATATTTTACTGGCATTTTGTAAATGATCGGCCAAATCTTCAGCCCTTTTTTTCTGAAAGCCGAATGTGTGGCCCAAGGTGTATTTTTTGGCCGTATGTGATCTGACCCTATATGTCAGTAATTTTGATTCACTCGTTTGAGATTAAATTATCTTAGTATATTATATTAAGTTTCATATACAGAAATCACCTATTTTTGTTCCACTAGGCTTTCTATCTCAAATCTGTCATGTTCGAAATAGAAGTACTGAGAAGTGAAATAATGAAGAAAGCTGATGACGCCCCCAAAGAATCATCAAAGAACATCTTGCTCGAACAAGAAATTGAAATCGACGGAAAAAGTATATCTCCATATACTTTAAGAAGGGATAGTACACCGGGCCTGAAAAACATTTTGTTGAAAGGTCAGATGTATTACCTGCAGGATGTCATTGGAATCATATACCTCTGTAGTCCAGTGTAAGTAACCTGAAGGAACCAATGTTTGATATTTTGATTTCATGTCATTACTGCTCAAAATAAGCGCCAGTTTAGTCTTGGCAATGGGATCACCATGATTGTATAGTCAAAGCGTCTATACAGCATTCGTAATCTCGATTCTTAACTGTTAAGTTGGTGCGATTTTCAGGATAAACAACATCAGCGAACTAACTGATCACGGATTATATTTAAATGATCTGAATCCGCACGGCCTAGGCAGGGAAATGGTTTTAGCTGGCTGGCAAAACAATTCAAAGTAAGTTGCATGTTTGGCAAGTGTTGACGAAAAGATCAGCATTAAGTGATACTGAATGTGATTTGTTATAGTTGTATCCACCGTTCTTGGCGGTTACGTCATCAGCGCCATATGAAATAAGTAAACAGATCGAGTCTCCGTACCATGGGCGGATCTTAAGCTTCAGCGTATCTGCTACTCTCTCCAATACGCATGAAGTGGGTAACAGGGGACCGCTGTTTTCATTCTCTTCCTGGAAATACTCGAATAAATTTAGCACGAGCTGTCGGCCTTTTCGATTGATCGTATTTCCGGGAATTGTACAATATTATATTGAAGATTTATAACAGACAACTCAAATTGCACGCCGATGTCAAGTCAGTTCTCACTCTGACAAATATGTTTGAAGGGCACTCACACGTAACGACAAAGTTTTCGAGATGGAGACACACAACTAAGAAACGTATGTCTTTGAGCTTATCGAACAAACGTTCACACACAGGGGTAGGTCGTATGTGTATGTATGAGGAAGCTGGAGATATATAAATCGATGCTGGTAGGCTTACTTTGACCCGCCAAGAACGGTGACTACAACTATACCACTCTCTGCTGACCATGACATTGCAGGTTAATAATGATTTTCAGTCCATGCCAAATCTTGAACATTAGACAAAATTAGTTGAGAGTACGAGAGAACTTTTAAAAGAAGTTTTTGGGCAACCATTTAAATATGTTGACATAGCACATCCTATTCCTTGTTATCATTATGCTTCCCAATATGGAGAGTGGATGAACGAGAAAAAATCTTAACGCCACCATGGCGCAGCGATCGCGCTCGTAGCACCTTATCTTCTTCCCTTCCATTCCTACCACATTTTCAATTTCTGATACTGAAGGTTTTACACACGTTGATGTCGTTAAGATAAATATTCATTTTACGCGCGTACTAGCTAGTGCAAACGCGATAAGAGCACCTCGGTAGTTTTTTGCAGCATGAGCGTCATTGGGCGTCGATGCTCCTGGTATATAGACTCCATGTTTCCCAACTTGCCTATATTATATGATGTGGCATCATTCTAACATTTCAGCTCAATCTGTCAAACGTCGTTCTGATATAAAATTGTCTCGAAAACTGACGCGTATCGAATATCGTAGGTATGTGATTCCCAGCTCTATTACATAGAATGCGAAATGACACCGAATTTAAAAATAAATGTAAATATTTGTTTTCATTTAAACAGTAAGAAATTTTTGATTAAATACAGTAGAAACCAATAAATTTTAATTTTCACACAATTCGTGTTTTAAGTCGCTTCTCATTCACAAAATGATGAGTTGACATCCTAGAACAAGTATACTCGTATCACTAGTCTAGCTCCAAGGTTGATCGACTTACGATGAAAAAACTTACAAGGACGAACGTCGACATCACAAGTGGAAATTTTACTAATATGAAAGCTTTTATCACTCTTTCTTTTCTGCTGAAACATAAACAAAGTTGGGAAGTCGCATTATAGGTAATAATGCGTAATGCGATTTTGGAACAGAACAAAACAGAGGATGAGCAGAAAAATATGACGACGCCGTGGATTTCCCTTCAGTAATATAAATGCAGATTAGTTACGACTATAAGATTTAAAGAACACTTCCGGTAATTACAAATTGCTCCTATAATAGTGCCAAAAAACCTGTTGATATATCGAAGGATATTATTGAACGTAACAAACCTTACTCAGATGATAACCCACATACTCAGAAATCGGTTTTGAATTTCGTACAGTTTAGGATTTTGTGTAACGCTAAATTTCAAAGCTTCTTCTGTGGTATATTTCCACCATCCAATTTTTATATCCGAATTAAGTGAAAACTTCATATACAGTTTATTAACAGAGAAAGACAAACTATAATTCATTTATCCAAGAAAGAAACTAAACCCTATATTCGCGCATACTTCACGTGATCGGACTCCAGAACGCCCACCACCTTACAGTGCCGTTGAGAATGCATGGATTGCCGTGTCGTCTCCCACTCCACCTTCCTGGTTTGGTATTGGTCCTGTATATGGGCTCGACCGATGCTGCCCAATAACGTTTCTTGAAATATAGCAACGTGCTGACAACGCACTGAACACACGCGCTGGTTATATTTTGGTTTAGTGTCTTTTTCGAACAAACATGCAGTTCGATCACAATGTTTTTAGGCATCCTTTGATATCTTAACTAAGAAATACTTGTTAGCAAGGATTAAATGTATTATTGCAAGCATTGATATAGCAATGTTACCAAGGAAACATCTGGGGGCAAACCGTTTTTACGATGGAAGATTCTTCTTTTTGTACGTTTAACCTCCAAGACGTTACAGTTGCAAGGTAGCCAATTAAGTGTTGTCAACGACACGCCTTGTCATCACTAACAGGTGTATTTATTGGCTTAGATGTCTGTGAAAAAATCTGATTTTGCATCCATGGCTATGGAGCGTCCTCTGTTGTTTGTAAGTTTTAGTACTGCCCCTAAACCATCAATCAATCAATCAATAACCTTTATTTCCATACAGACAATATATAATTGTATTGGAATTGTCAATTTTTCGTTCGCTCTACAAACCTACAACTAATCTCAAATTGCAATGTTCAAAAATTCATCAACACGATAAAAGCTCTTGTTTATCAAAAATTGCTTCAACTGGAACTTGAAGGCGTTAATATTTTTAATCGAGGTAATCTGGCACGGTAAATTATTAAAAAGATGCGGACCAATTTTATTGAGTGATCGAAATGCCGCTTTTGATTTGCTGAAGTTTACATATAAATTATTACAAGTCCTTGTATCATGATTATGCATATCACAATTTCGCTTGAACTTTTCATTATTTTTAAAAATATGTAAGCACAATTCATGGGCTCATGGACTCAGATAAAATGTTATGGGCTAGTCAGTAACTTTTAGTGAAGATGCTGGAATTTGCGTCGATCCTACGTAGATGCAATTGCCGGTTCAAGCACTCCATTTATGTTTCGACTTGAGTCGTGAAAATTGTTGCACGCGAACTATAAACAGAGAAGTGTCAGTGTATGAAGTCCCGAACTAGTAGTATCTATGTAAAGTCCGGAGTGTTGACAATTCTAATAAGAACTAAAAAAAAATGGCGTTAAGTAGGTTGATGCTGCAACGCCGTAATCAGTTCATAAAGGATTATGTTCAGCACAAACTAGACTCTCTGAGAAAAAGTCGATCAGACACATACAATTAGTCCATAGACATTATTTCCCTGCCCTACCGGTAGTGAATCTGGAAACGTCGCCTCTCCCCGCTAGTTAACTCGGTCAGACGTGGCATTGCAGTCAGAGGTCAGAGCAGAGGAACCACTATCATGTGACTCGGTAGAAGTACAACAGAACACGGCCGGTAGGTACGCGATCCATCTGCCGAGAATATTTCTATAAGTTTTGAGTTATAATTTCCTAAAAATCTAGGATGCTTGAAATATGTATAATAGGGTAGAATTACCAAGCTTGGGAGTGTATAAATGTACTAATATCAGCAAATTGAGATATACCCTTCCCACCCGCCTTCAACTCCCACCCCCAAGTTTGTTTACCTCTAATATTTTTTTAAAATCAGGCTCATCTGAAACTTCAAAAAACGGAGTTTGAACGATTTTTAATTTGCCGCTTTAGGCCTTTTTCTCAGCCGCCAGTGAACCGATTTTCTAGAACTACAAAGCTTTTGCGTCCCTGGCATAGTAACGGGTGATTTTTTAAGAGGTATAGGACTTGATTTTCAAAAAAACACAAAAAATTTGAAAAAACGATTAAATCTTTATTTGAGTCGATAGAACGGTCGATCTAATTTAATGTTTAAAGATTATTTCATGTAAATGTTGGCAGGGGCTCCGCTTTAGATGGCCCATGCGCAAGGTCCAATTTTGGCACACTCTCTCCAACGTATCGGCCGGTATTTCACGAATAAATGCTTCAATATTGGCTTCCAGTACGTCAATCGTTGCTGGTTTATCCCTGTAGACATTAGCCTTAACATGGCCCCACAAGAAATAGTCCAACGGCGTTAAATCACACGATCTAGGCGGCCAATTGACAGGGCCCCAAACGTGAGCTAAACTGTTCACCGAACTCGCCTCTCAATAGGGCCATTGTTTCGTGTGCGGTGTGGCGTGTGGCACCGTCTTGTTGAAACCACATGTCAGCCAAGTCCAGCTCTTCCATTTTGGGCAAAAAAAAGTTTGTTATCATCACACGGTAGCGCTCGCCATTCACAGTTACGTTCCGTCTTTAAAGAAGTACGGCCCGATGATGTCACCGGCCCATAATCCACACCAAACAGTGATTTTTTCGGGATGCATTGGTAGTTCTTGCAATGCTTCTGGCTGGTCTTCACTCCAGATGCGGCAATTTTGCTTGTTAACGTACCCATTCAACCAGAAATGAGCTTCGTCGCTGAACACAATTTTTCGATAAAAATGTGGATCTTCCTCCAACTTTGCCAGCGCCCATTCACCAAATTGGAAACGTTGTGGGAGGTCGTGTGGCCTTAATTCTTGCACCAGCTGTATCTTATAAGGTTTTACACCCAAATCCTGTCGCAAAATTTTCCACGTAGTGGAGTAACAGAGGCCCAATTGCTGCGAACGGCGGCGAATCGACATTTCACGGTCATTACTAACACTGGCGGATACAGCCGCAATATTTTCTTCAGTCCTCACTCTACGTCTGCGTGTTGGTGGTTTAATGTCCAATAATGTAAACTGGGTTCGAAATTTAGTCACAAGCTTCCGAATAACTCCCTCAGTAGGCCGACCAAATTGCCCATAAATTGGAAGCAGTGCTCGATGCACTCTCTTAACCGAGCATGAATTTTGATAGTAAAATTCAATAATTTGCAAGCATTGTTCGTTCGTAAGTCGATTCATGGTTAAATTATAGACCAAACTGAACAAGTTTGACAATGACACAAGACACGATTCACGTCATCTGTCAAAAACAGTGTTGCCAAAAAGATACTAGCAAAAAAATCACCCATTAGTAACATTCTGTAAAAGCTTCATTGAAATACGAGGGGTATTTCTCAAGTTATCAGGTTAAAGGAGTAGCGGTCAGGCCGACAGAGCAAGAGACAGTCAGACGGACGGAAATGAGTGACATGGTTTTTCGTGATGTACATGTATGGGGTCAGTGTTTACAAGCACTGATTGGGCAAGTATTGTTAAAACGGGCTATACATTTTGTATTATTGTGTTTAAATAAATTATTCAAAAAAAAACATTAAACATACTATATCATTTTAGAAAATTTTCGCGATTACAATACTTCCCTGCAAGTAGGCGTGGTAAATAAAACCCTTATTGATCAAAAATACCTTTTTGCGCGAATTAATCACCAGGTCACGATATTTGCACTTTGAGAAACAGTGGCGGACTCCCATCCGGTTACTCAGCCTCTGTGTTACAATTATATGAGAGTAGATGAGATTTTCCTCCATCCGCGTGCATGTAATCCAATTACTTCCAGTTTATGTACACTGAACCGGAAAATTTCTTCCCTCTCTGCAATAATTTATTGCTTTTTGCGCCGCGATATTACCCTATACATGAAAGTAGCTCCGGCTCCGTTGAAAGGTGGAAATGTCCCTATAGGTGAAATTAGGGGCCATTACCTTTCAGCTTTCAGGATAAATATGAAAGTGTGTATGTGTGTTCCATTTTTACGCCAAAACGGCTGTACCAATTTTTATGAATATTAGAACAGGTATAGATTAGACCTGGGAGATTTTTTTATCGGGCAACGTTTTTATAGCCCTCTCTCAGGCAAAAAAGCTCGACAGTATTGCCTGTCGGGCATTCTGGCCCTAAGTGTGAGATTCTCCAGAAACCGCATACTTACTAAAACCCCTGAGTGGTCCGGTACGTGACGGTGATGCGTACGGCATTTCTTTATGGTGGATAGCGTTTTCATACCCAAGGTCTACTCTCCGTCGTACGTACCGAGTGATTCTGTAAGGTGACTCAACCCTATAACTTTTTTATTATTGAAGATAGAAAAACGAAATTTGGGGTTTGAAAATACAGGACTGGCCTTGGTTTCTTAACTTCTTTGTTCTTTATTAAAATCAACACCTACTTAGCTAATTATTGAAATGTTTGACTATGTACAAAAAAGCAAATGAATGTTATCTAATAATGACCAAAGCTTCTTTTGATTTTTCTGTAAAAGTTTTAATTTGTTCAAACATCTTATTTTGTCAGATTTCGAACATTACCAACTTGATATTATCAGCCTTCCAGAAAATAGTGATTAGAATTGCTTAATTTAAGTACAACATTCTGTTACACTCAGAATTTATTATTTAACAGAAAAAAAAGAACAATAATAATGTTATACTGTAAATAAAAGGAAACACTAATGTTATGCAGCTTATTATTTCGGTCATTTTTTAGTGATTTATTCCTAGAAACTGATGTTCAATATGGGTTCTGCCCAAAGGGAAACAGAGTCTTAGAGCTACTCAAAATTGTGACTGACATGTTGATAAAATCTAATATATCGGTCCGGACCCACAATACAATAAAATATTAATTCCGGACTTGCATACGTTTTTGTGTACCTTTTACTTAAGTCGAAGTTGGTCTGAAGGGTCAAATTTAGGGAATTCGCATACTTAATGCCGATTCCATTTTAAGTAGAATTCATGTAGTTGTGCGATAGTACGTAGAATAAAATCATTACAAAATTACAGAACAAAGTAAATAAGTCACTAATTTTGTCGTTTATTTATATCATTTATTATTACTTTTTCTGCAAAATAGTAACAAACTCAGGATATTAGTTACAGTGCGTTGCGCTTGATAAAACAGAGAGATGAAAAAACTGGAATTTCTAAAACATCTTTAGTTCAGTTCTAAGCACTACTTGGAATGCACTGATGAAATCAAGCTGGAAACGTTTGAAATTTTGAGTGTTGTGCAACATAAACTGAAACAAATAGTATAAATAAATCAATAAAGGTTTTTATCAAAAAATCATCACGCACATTCAATCTATTTTAGTAACTGATAATGTAGTGTGCAAAATTTCATCAAAATCGGTTCAACCGTGCATGAGATGTGTGATCAAAGATTTGACATGTTTAGATAAATCACCTTGTATTTTCGTAAAGATGAATTCAGAAGTTTTTTGTTTCTATATCTGCTTCCTACCATTTCACTATGTCCATTCTCTCACGGAACAGCCTGTAGAGGTCACAGAAAATCTTAAAATATATATTTCCTTTGAGCATTTACAAAAATCAAACCATACTACAAAATTTTTTTTTTGTAATTTGATTAACACTAATTTATTCATCTCAAGGTTACAGTATATGTTTGACAAGGCAGAACAGAGAGCCACAGAGTTGGAGAACAATTATATGCTTCTGGATACATGGAAAAGGAGAGGAGATGATTTACTGTACTCGATGATTCCGAAATCGGTAGCTGATAGATTGAGGACTGGGCATAGTCCTTTGAGTACCTGCGAGGTAAGTGTAAGGTATCCCAAAGAAAAACTATTGAACTTCCTCAATAAGCATTTCATTAGAGGCAAAAAAACTTTTAGCTTTACTATTATTGTTCAACACTACAAGTTTTTTTTTGTTTTTCTCTGAATTTCTACCCTGCTAGTGTCAGCTACAATGTGTTCCGTATTGTATCTAATTTTGAGTAAGCTGTACACAAGACGTTAGCAATGACGTATGGTGAGTTACGTTACCCTTTCCCATTCTGGTACAGGGGTTACTAATAAAGTTGATTAATTCTGTTCCAACTGTTTATGATCAAATGCAACTTAAGTTATCTGGGTCGAACAGTTTTGGTAGGTTATAAATATTATTGAGTAACGTAATCTACCTGGTTAAACCAAAGATTAGTTATCTCAAGGGAAGACATTTCGTGGATTGGGAGTAATCTGCGTTATGCTGGAGAGACTGATGTGATACGATAAAAATTAGTCACATCTTGCCGAGTTTGCTGTTTAGCATCAAAGTACGTAAGATTTGATTAGACGTAAACATTCCATATCACTACGCGATGTAACCAAAACTTTGCGGTTGGTTTTTGGACTATTACTGGTGTACAAATAACAACAGCGAGGCGGTGTTGCCAAGCTGCCACAAGATAATTATAAAACGCTATACTTATACTAAGCAGAAGCAGACATGAAGATATCGTCTTAAGGCCATGCTATCTAGATATTTCACGACCGTCTCAAATAGACCGACAAAAAGCAATCTGAGGTTATACAATTTTTGTATTTCAAGCTGATGTACTACATCTGTTACTAAGCTTAGTAGTGTAGTATTCCGTGTAGAGTCCTGAAAGCTAAATAGCTATGTGACAACTTACAGGTTTTGAGATAGCTTCTCGTGCAACAGGTGTGAACTTTATTGAATGAATAACATATTTCATATGTTGCAAATGGACGATAAATATCCTCACCCTGAATAAATGTCTAAACAAAAGTAAATTTGAACAAAAAATTCGTTCACTACAATTGATGATCGACGAATTCATTCAAAAAGGATTATTTCCGATTAAATGAGAACAGACGTGTTTAGACGAAGTCAGCTGTTTTGTGGACGCCAAGTTTTTAGGGTAATCTCTCATCCCACTCTCTAATTTTATTCGCCTTGTCGGGTCTCTCTTTGTATAACTACTATTTGGTTATTCTTAATAAAACAGTCGCTTAACCTAAATGATTTATTAAATGTCAAAGTATTACAAAATTAACCAGTTACCTAATAATATCAATGGTAACATAATTTTTCGATACATCTTCATACCAACGATGTGAAGACATGATTTAGTGCTTCATGTACAATTAGTTCATACTCAATCTCGCTGAAGCTCTCTGCGTCCTAAAATTGGTGAATTAACGCATAGACAATCTTAAAAATAGAAGTTATTATAAGGGGTGTCCCAATATCAATCAAATTAGAAAAACACAAACTTTTCCACCACCACTGAATACTATTTGATATTTTTTTTCTCAGAATAAGGGTTGTCCGAAAAGTACTGGAGAAGTTCTTTCCAAACTCTCACTTTGATACTTCAGATTTTTCTACTCACACAGCCATATTAGAGAAGATGCTTCCAACAATAGTCTTATACAATATCGCCATTCCGACCCTTTTTCCGGCAAAAATATGATTAACAGAAAAAATTTAATTGGCACCGACCAACTGACAGCGCCAGCGATCCGTTTTAGGACGCTGTTCCGGATATATCCCGAAATGATTGAGAGTCTGATCATGCTATTCGACTGGTTTCCTAATTATAAGCAAAGAACTCGTATTTACAGTTAGTAAGGGCATGATTATTTGGACATCTCTATATACCATGACATGATTGAATAAAACGAATAAGACTGGGGGCAAAGCTTTACGTGAAAGCCTGACACAGTGTATGAAATTAAATACCTACAAATATGCGGCAAAAAATGCATGTTACTCGAATTTAATTAAAGTTGCTGCAAATCTCTTCAACAACAGAAAACAGAAGTGTATAAAAAACCTCATAAGCGATGATTACTTGGAGAATTTGAAACAACCCCTGTTAATACGAGGGATGTCTTTTAAGTTTTGCATATAGAAACATAGTAGGCCGCTCGGATCGAACGTCAGTACTGAATCTTAACCTCACTCTTTAGTAAACTTAAATTCAAAGTTTCACAACAATACGTGCAGTGTTCTCACTACAGTGAATTTTTAAGTGTCACCACGTCATTTGAAAAATGGAACTCAACCGAGAACATTTTCGCGCCATAATTTATTACAACTTTCAGAGACAATTATCGCAACAAGAATGCCTTGCTGAGTTACTGTCTGTTTTCGGCAACGAAGCGCCACATCAGTCGACAATAATTTCCCGTTGGTATGGAGAATTCAAACGTGGACGGGTGAGTCTTAGCGACCAAAAACGGCAGTCACCCAGGAAAACGTCGATGCTGTTCGCAAACTCATCATTGAAGATAGACATGTGACATATCGCGAGATTGAGGCGTCCTTGAAGATCTCAAAGACCTCAGTTCAAAAAATTTTACATGAAGAATTAGGAGTAAGAAAATTAGTCTTTCGTTGGATACCCCACCTGTTGACTGAAGAGCAGAAAGCAGCCAGGGTTAATTGGTGTCAAAAAACGCTTGACCGTTTCAATTCCGGAAACTCAAAAAATGTGTACAGCCTTGTTAGTGGTGATGAATCGTGGATTTACTGTTATGAACCAGAAAATAAACGACAGTCGGCTGTTTGGGTGTTCCAAGGTGAAGAAAAGCCAACAAAAGTTATCCATTCTCGAAGTGATTCGAAAAAGATGGTCGCGACATTTGTGTCAAAAGAGGGTCATATTGCAACAAATACTCTTAATGAGCAAAGAACTGTTACTGGGGATTGGTATACCATACCATTTGCCAAAAGTCATCACCGAGCTTCGAAAAATCAACCCCGAAAGAAGAATCATCCTCCACCAAGACAATGCAAGCTCGCACACAGCCCAAAAAACAAGGCAGTATTTAACGGAAGAAAACGTAGTCCTGATCTAAGTCCTAACGATTTCTTTACTTTCCCGGAAATTTAAAACAGACTGCGTGGTCAAAGGTTTCAGTCACCAGAAGAAGCAGTTGACGCATTCAAAAATGCCGTTTTGGATCTGCCAGCAAACGAGTGGAATAAGTGCTTCGAAAATTGGTTCGAGCGCATGCAGATGTGTATTAATCTTCGTGGAGAATACTTCGGAAAACAATAAAGTCATTTAAAACTACCTACCGTGTTGTTTTATTTCCATATGCAAAACTTATACTCGTATAAATAAAAAGAAAAGCCAATAAGTGGTCTTCTGAAGCGGTCATGCATCTAAGTACTAACCGTGCCAGAAATTGCTTAGCTTCGGCGATCGGATGAAAGGTGGAGCTTTTACGGTCATGATAACCCGTAGTTCCTAGATATAGTTGCTTTTAGTGAACGCGACCTATTGAACTGGTTTACCGAAATGAACTGGAAGGAAATTAACAGCAAATATTGCGAAAATGCTGCTTAGATATCTCCTTTCCAACATGGCACTGTGACTGGAAAATATATGAGATACCAAAGCAAAAATTGTGAAAGAGAACCACGAAAAAGGGCGTTTCCTAACTACTGTGCGAAACTTCAGCCAACGCGGGGCTTCCTAAGGGATCGGTCTTGGTTCAGACATTGTTCCACTTACATATCAACGACCTTCATTCATGTACGATCAATCCGATTCACAAGTTTGCTGATGACATCTCTCTACACTCAAGAATTTAGAGTGACAAGCCGATGTCTACCGGTGAGCTAAAGACTAACAGCGACTTCCTCTCTGACGAGAAACCTGGAGGTTATCGCTGCTTGGGGATGCAACAATCTGGTACAGTTTAAAACTCACAAAAAACAGTACTGTAACCTTGACTAACAAGAAGTCCCTAGCGTTCATCCGGTTTCGATGGATGGCTGAGTTCTACCAAAAAGCTGTTCATTTCGGCTGGACGCAGTCCAGATCACCAAGAACATGACCTGCTATGAACATATCTCGTCAATCGCAGCAATTGCTAGGAAAAAGATTATTTGTTTAGGGCTAAGAAGTACTTTTCTTCACATGACCTCCTCACCCAGATAAGACACATGGTACTGCTGACATGAGGATGCTTTTCCTAGTTCTACTAATCTTACCAGATTAAAAAATCGGATTAACAAAGTTTCTTTAAGCTCCTCATAGCAGCCGCGGCACCCTGGTACTTAGCCTTCTACCTGCGCGGCTACTTCGGTATGAAAAAAGGAAAAAGCGAGCCAATTACTTTTTTGTACTTTTTACACTTTTTTAGATTAAGTAACTGACTACAACTTTTTAGTCTTTTGTGTTTTCTTTATTCCTTGTTTACTATGAAAATGAACATTAATCCTCTAATACCAGTATGATCACATTTTTGGCATACCATGTCCTTTGTATAACAAATTATTGCCAAGTCCAAACAAGTACCTACCTACGGGGTGCGTTTTGTAAATCATTTGGAAATATAATATCGTACTCGTACCGGTGTACGAACGGTAGATTGACTCTGGAATACTGTGAAACCTTATTTTTAGAACGCCTAAATTAAGACAGAGTCATGTACTGGCACTTGATGGCAGCCGACTAATTTCTAACCAAATTTTCTGCGACCATCGTATTTATTATGACAGACGCTATGGATACAAGGTAACCCATTTATCGTGAAAATATTTGATGAGATCATTTAAATACTACCAGGAAGACCACCCTGCAGTTTGAGGTCAGACTTAGAACCCTTTAGAGAGTGCAGAGAAAAATCTTCCTGTATCCATATCAAGTATAGCTGGCCCAAGTTTTACTGCCTGATGATTTTTACCCAAGATTCATACGATAGCATAAAATAATAATAATTGCTTACAAAATATTTTATTTACGGACGAGGCAAATTTTCCAAGAGACAATGACAAGTTTTTGGCCGACGAGAATCTCTTCTTTATTAGAGAAAGTCATGTTCAGTAACAATTTCAGCAGATCGTTTGGGCAGATGACTACTTAGCTGGCTTATTTTCCACCAGCAAGATCAATATGTGAATCCTACATGGATTTTTTTGCGGGTTCTTTTACCTATTCTGTTAACAGTAGTACTCGTGCAAGTAAGGGATAACTTGTAGCTTTGCACGACGGTGCTCTAGCTCAGTTTAGTTTTCTTGCTCGTCAGTATCTCTACCCTTAACGCAGGATTGGACGTGCAAGATCTAAAATTTGGCCAACTCGTAGCAGGGCAGTGGTGTTACATAACTTGAAAGGTGACGTTATGTCGGTTTTTTTTTGATATTATGTAGGTTTTTATGTATTCTGTAGGTTTCCCTACAATATGTCAACCAGGAGTTAGCAGTCGTTCACTTCATGCTCACTTGTAGCAGACGCACTCTACTAGCTATCTAGTCAATAAGTTGACATTTTATCATTCTCTTTTGACATTAGATAGGTTTTTTACGTAATAACCCTGCCGATATGAATCCTCTAGATTTCTATTTATTTGATTGCTCTTGTTTTTAAAACCTCTGTACTAAGTGTGAATGACTTGAGGAGCCGGAAAATTGACAAGGAATACTTCAATGTCGAAATTGTACTTTTTTTATTTTCAGTTTTTATGCTATATTGTCCATTGATAGTTTTTAGAATGAGTTAAAGTGATTTTGTTCTCTAAAAAAAACACAAGAGACCAAAAACTGCAACACAAGTGATTGGCGCACTTTCTTCAATAATATAGCTGTGGTGCCTACTGAGACGTTACTGGACCCAGCGGCGGCCTTAGGGGGTGGCGAACAGGGCAACCGCCCGGGGCTTAGCTCTTGCACGGGCCTCGCGCAACAATAAGCAAATTTACGTAATAGATTAATAGATTTTTTTAGCTATACTTTTTTTATTTGAAACTTTCGATTTTGATCCTCAATTATTTATTCAGGTTATAACATAGCGGTAAATTAAAATAAAGTAGTTAACTAATTCATTCGTTATGTAGTACTTGAATACCGCGTCTCGAAACACTTGAAGATCGGTTTTTAATCGCATAGCACTCGGGTAATGTTTTGCTCCTGTATCGCTCGGGGAACCCCAATGTTTCGTTTCGTTCGTCAACTCTAGTCACCTTGGAATTATTTTGCTTGCAATATGAGTTACAAAGTCGTATATGTACCGTACTTATCTATCAATCTTATTGAATATTATGTTCTTATAGTATTTAAAGTATTGAGTGAGCTATAAAAGTATGTAAAAAACTCAAATTTTATTTATTTGTATAACTTTAGCATTTCTCGTCAATCATAACAAATACCTAAACCAAACAACCAGACCTACTTTCTCATCACATACATTTTATGAAGGACAAAGGGTCTCGCAAAGACCTGCCGCCCGGAGCCTCGCAGTGAGTAAGGCCGCCGCTGACTGGATTTAATAAATTCAATTTAGTTGGAGCTCAATAAGCGCTTCAAATAGTTTTACCACATTTCAACTAAATCGGTTCAAGGATATTTATGATACTTTATATAAGCATAGCGTGTTTTCAAAGCTCATCAAGTATCTCATAAAAAGATTACTTTTTCTCAAAGCGACGAATCACACTCTGAAAATTCATACCCTAGTTAGGAAACACCCTGGCTAAAAAATGCCTAATGGTCAAGTGATTAGTGTTGACGACTTTCAAATTGCTTCAAATCAACTTACCGTACCTAGGGCAATGGATACGTACCTCTGAGATGGGCAGACTTATGAGGTTACTGATTATAATATCAATAATTTTATTTAACACAGTTTTGATAAAGTGAGAAACTTTATTCATGTACGTGTTTAGTACCTTTGTTGTATTCTTATTGATTACATCTGATATTTCCTTGCTAAGCTCAACATCGTCAAATACTCCAGTTACGGCAAACTAAAAAAAAAAAGGAAGAAACTTTTTATGAAGAATATACTGGAATGGTTATCTACAAAATATCTAGGAAAAATTCTATGTCTTCAGTATTTTCATGATATGATGAAATACAAGTATCAGTAAAAGACACCTAATCTTGTTTTAAGCCGACCTCACTGATATTTGAAAATAATTTTAAGAACAGAAAAAATACATCTCAATTATATGAGTGAGAATCACCAACAAAAAAGAAAGCAACATAAAACATTAGACGAATTTGAACTGCATTATCCAAATCCATGCTAGAGTTGATACCAACGCTACCATTTATTCATGCACTGTATGCGTGATATTGGCTGATGGATTCGGCAGAGTTGTATTCAGAACCGTCTTGCGATTATTAAAATATACCAACTTCTTACAGATGTTATTAAACATTTCCATAATTACAATTGAAATACATTAGTTTTCCAGTTTCAGAATTCACCAATGAACCCTGACCATGCGTCCACATGTTTTTGAGCGTACACGCGGACGTGTTTGTTACGTACTACCATTGATTACCTTATTCTACCTAAAGATAGCCAACCTTACGCTATATCTGCGCGTCCGAGAAATTATCCGAGATGATCTGAAAAACCCTCCGTCCTTTATCAGAATTTGTCACAACTATCTCTCTTCTCTGCGGCAATCATGTATCTACTTTGAAGATGTTGCTGTCTTCTAGATGATGCTGTAGCTGCAAGCTACATAGGGGCATATAGCCACAGCGCTATCTAGGAGGCCATCTATGAGATACTAACCCTTTCAAAGTAGATCTATAAGTATAGCTGCGCGCAGAGAGAAATTGTCATAGAGGACGCGATGGTCTTTCAGTCTATCTCGGATAACTTTTCGGGCGCTCAGATATGGCATTAGGTTAGCTATCGTAGGCAGAACACATTAATCAGTGGTTTTACTCTATCTTGGACTTGGATATGGTTTGATCTTATAGCCTACGAATATCAGCATGAATTGCTTCCTTCAAAATTTAAAAACGCTTCTTTAAGATTTGAGTTAATTTTATATTATCATGTTCTATCTTCCAGTGTTATAACTATTAAAATGCTTTGACTGTCGAAATCTAAGCTGAAGTGGCCTTACCGAAAAATCCTTTATAGTCAAGTCGAGCGTTTCTATGGCTTCTCCGGTTCCCATACCTAAGATATCTACTTTAAACGCAATGTTAACATCTGACACAACAATCCTGAAAAGCGACAGTAACAGTATGGTATTAATGAGGTTACTATAGTAGATTTATCAGTCTGATTTTATCCCTCTCATTCTTACACCCTGTGTGTATGTATGTGTCATCAAAACCGCAGATGTATTTGTATTTCAGTTGTCACAATCGAATGTTAAACACAAGTATTTTTGTATGTATCTGGGGTATTAAGGGAGCGATTATGCCCCTCGGCTTGAAACTAATTCTCAGAGTACGAAACGCCAGGGCACTGACGTGCCATGATGCGAAGGAGTATTTATCCTGGACGTTCAGCGGGCGGTTATATAATAATTTGAGCCCAAGATGAGAAGCATCGCACCCGCAGGCTTCAACACGCCGATGGACATAAGCACCTATTATGCCCGAGATACATACAGCGAGCCGTAACCGACGATAATTGGCCAGTTTAGAGATAGCGGGCGCTAAAGTTACGTTACTGCCATAGGGCGTGAAAAAATCTATTAGATGAAAAGTTTGACTCAACGTCTGGCAACCTATTCATAAGGTATACTTTTACGTCCGGTTGTACGTAACACACTGCTACTGTTTAAAGACAAAATGCACTAAATAATACTTTCGCACAGTCATAGAGTCGGACCATGTCTCCAGAGCTGTCCATTCTGCTTATGCAAAGCTAAAAGCTATTCACAGCTTTAAAAACATCTTATCTAAGCGGACCAAGATAAAGCTCTACAAATAATTTAGTCCTAAGCAAACTTGAATATGCCGATCACGTATATTGCCCTTGTCTCACTCAACAGGAGGCTTTCCCACTGCCAGAGGTTCCAATCAGCTGTGTACATTATATATCTGGTATACCTAGGAGAGAAAGAACTTCCCAGCATCTCAAAGGAGTCCATTGGTTAACATGCAACACAGATGGGTGTTGCACCTCCTTTCATTTCTCCAAATTGTTCTTATTAATAAGACGCCGATATATCTTTATAGTGAGCTATCTTTTAGAAGCCAATGCATTCTTGAGGAATAAAGTTAAGGTCTTCATTTCCAGATATTTATTGTTTTAACCTTTTTTTATGTACCTGACTTGGAACAATTTAATTAGATGTTCCTGAATTGCTTACCATCCAATACTTCGACTACGTGACTTTTTCTTGATTTGTTGGCTTAGTTTTATAGTATCTTGGATGTTCAAGTATTTTGATGTATTCTATAACAAACATTTTTACTTTGTATTTGTACCTATGGTATATGTACTATCAGCTGTTTCTGTAATTTCTGCCCTGGTTGATATCGTAAAACAGCTAATAAGCTAAATATCCTCCAGATAAATAAAGGCCTTGTATTATTATTATTATTATTAGATATTATTATTATCAACCGAACTTAACTAATCTTACCTCAAGGTTCCATTACCAAATACGCTTAACAGTGGTATTTTCAAAAGCGGAAGATCCATTGCGTATCCCGTATTAAAGGAGAATTTTTCCAAACCCCCTCTAAAAGAAAGCTTTTTTTCCTCTTCAAAAGTAAAAGCTTTCAATCCCGAAGCGTTCAAATTGGTAACGTTGAGAGAACCACTGAAAAATAATTATATTAATGGATAGACTACTCAAAAATGTAAGGTTCGTTTTTGATCTCCTCTGGAAGTAATTTATCCAATGAACTTCAATAACAAGACCTGATCATGCATCTACTTACGAAATCAACACATTATCTGGAATCACTAAGTTGCATTCTTGAATCTCTATCGGTTCTGGTATGGCTTTTCTGATTTTTTCAATAATATCCTCGATAGGCCCATCGTTTCCTATAAGGCGAACAACTGTTATATTCGGATGATTCAACTGTAATGGTAATAGTTTCTTTTCGCCTGGAGCGAAATGTCTAGTGGGGGGTATCCGAATCGATTGCCACGCCTCCGGTGGACAACAGGAGAAACATCGTCGGACTTATACTGAAAAACGAGCGTGGTCCCTATGGCGAAATCTGCCTTGTGGGATCAAATGGGGTTCGTTGTTCTTAACCTCAAATCGATTAAATGCCAGTCATTCTCATCTGTGATCGGTTAAATTAATAATAGTTTTAAAAAACTAAAAAACACGCTTTCATAGCTAATCGAACTAAAAAGTAGAAAATAATTTTTAATTACAAAGAATTTATATTACAGTAGTAGATGGTCGAACAATCAACTATAATTAATGACCTCAAAATAAAATTATAGTAAAATTTGAGTTATTAACAGAATAATTCAATTCAGAGTGAAAAGCGTGGGGTGCTTGATATATTAAATGTTACAATCATTCTATTGTCAACTATTTATGAGAGGAGAGTTATTAAAATGTAGTTAAGTGCACCTCATGCTTTTTACTCTGACTTATTCTGTTAATAACCCAAATTTTACTTAGAGGCCATTAATTATGATTAATTGTTCGACCATCTACTACTGTAATATAAACTCTTTGTAATTAAAAATTATTTTCCACTTTTTAGTTCGGTTAGCTATAAAAGCGTGTTTTCTTCAGTTTTTTTAACTATTACTTATTTTTACTTTTTAAGTTCGATTTATCAATTAGTTTTTTGTGGACATGTGGTATTAAAATGTCTTACGAATCATTTCGTAATCTGATCATTTCATTTAAAGCTTCACTGTTGCATCGGTTTTTTCCTGTTAACTTAGAGCAATCAAGTTCTTCAATCGGAATACCATCTAAAATCTTACACGACTAAGTGCTACATAAGCCTGTCCAGCAGCAAACAGTCGCGAGCCTAGATAAATGACTTCATGATCGACTGTACAACCTTGCATTTTGTGGACGGTCGAAGCCCAACTCAGGATTAATGTCAACATTCGCAATGAACAAGGTGAGAATGCACTACATTGAAAAAGTATCTGCCTCCGTTGTGCTGTGCCGAGTGCCCGAACCAACAAAGAGTATGTCCGAAACTGCACGCATGCGCAGATCACGTGCTAGCTCTATCTCTCTTACTTCCCTAGAGAGGATCTATAAAAGAATTATTAATCTATCCTGGCGACCCTAATGAGGATAATGGAAAACTGTTATCAAACTATTGCATTGTCATCGGTCCTTGATATGTATTGCGAAGTTTCAAATTAATCAAACTTCGAGAAATTGCTAAAAATTATGCTCAAAGATCCCGTTACATACATACATACAGGCCAGGCTTATAAAAGCGTGTTAAAAAGAGGATTCGGTCGAAGTTCCGGTTTCGGCCACAAATCATGCGGCTGAACATTTCGGCTTGACCGAAACATATCTTCGTGATTGGTGAACTCTCGGCTTCCTTCCGGCTGTACGTTTGTATATACTACATTAGGATTGCGTTATTATTATTATTATGCAATGTTCAAAAGTAGATTTTTTCTGCTTGGAAAATAATTTTAACAAAAAACATATATGTTAATAACGGATGTCTTTTTGAATTATTATTAAATTGTGTACATTTTCATAAGTCTAAAAAGTTGCGGTTTTGGTCAAAACTAGGACAGAAGCTGGAGATTGGTATTCGGCTTCGGCTGGAAATCCAGTTTCGGTCACTAATTAATGCCCCTTTATTTTTAAGTTTTACCTAAGAAGTACAATATTTTCGTCAAACATTATTATTCAGCTTACCAAGTTTTCCCGAGACAAAACCTGCACTTAGAAGTACCAGTATAATATTCATTTTTCGCTTCGCAGGATTTTATTCGTTGGAAGAATATTTGATAAGCATATGAACTGAGAGCTGGAAGGTTTTATTGTGTGAAAAAATCAGATAATTCGTATACGTATTTTTGAGATAGGATAATGAGCTTATCAGTAACATTCATATTTATAAGTAATCTAAACACTTCATGGTTTTTCGGTGTGCTGAAGTCCAAAATGTATTCAGATATGACAAAAAGACGAAGGAACTTTTGTTCCTATTACAAACATAATATGATACATTATTTTCTGCAAAACGTACTTTCCTGTTAACTCTATTGACTTAAATTATTCAATAAAATATGCTGAAAATTATGTATACCTATAGCAACAATGGTTTAAAATGCTTTGTTCAGAAGTCAAAAAACCAAAATTGGATCTACACTATCAAGCTCAAACAATATTTCTGTTGGTGTGCCACAAGGTAGTAAACTAGGTCCACTACCATTTATTTCATACATTAAGGACATTTGTAATATTTTAGATTATTGTAAAATTCAGATATTTGCAGATGATACATTAATATACATATCAGATGAGAATATGAAATGTCTAAATTCTGACTTGACAAAAATCATAAATTGGTTTAATGAAAATAAACTAAAATTGATTGCTTCTAAAACAAAATGTATGCTAATAGGGAAATACCTAAATGGAAATAGTATCACAGTTTAATTGGTGAAATAATTGAAAATGTTGAATCAATTAAATATTTAAGTAAATACAAGATGTAAAGTTAGTAGTGGATCAACGGAAGTCAAAACCTATCGAATGAACCCCTGTATGTGTGGTCCGAAATTTTATAGTTCGTGAGATATCGCAGTTCTGTGAAATTTGGAAAAAAACGGGATAATGAACTTTCAATCGCAATTACAACTAAACCATTCGGTTTATGGATGTTATTGTTTTTCTGAGATGAGCTAAATGGTTAGTTTTAGCAATGGTTATGTCACTTTTTAACAGATCTTATTAGAAATCAACGCAAAAAAACATAAATTCATTTTTTTGTGAAAAATCCCTTTCATCCCTCAACTTTGTAGGGCGGTAAAAAATGAGGTTGTATTTCATTATTCATTTTATTTTAAAAACTATTTCAATCCATGTAGAATAAACCATGATAATTTCAATTTCAACTATCTTGATCACTGCCAATGAAGCTGTGTTTTCAAAATTACAAGTCTTGCAAAATTAAGCTATGAGAATAATATTGGAGAAAAATAAGTACACAAAAATAAAATCCATGCGACAACAATTACGGTGGTTGAATAGTAAAAGTTTCATATGATATTTGGTTCTTATTTTTATATTTAAAATAAAAAATCATCTCTTGTCACAACATTTAAAACTCTACATAGAATTGAATAATCATTACCACAATTATTATACAAGAACAAATATAAATTTTCATTTACAAAATTTCAATAGTAGTATAACTAGCAAATCAATAGTTCACAAAAGGACTACTTAGATTTAATGAACTAGATAATGATATAAAGTCTTTTTGTAATTTAAAAGAAAATTAAAGGAATATTCCCTGGACAGTGAAAATTCATACAGATGCAAATTTTGTTTTTCTAATTACCTGTATGTTATGTAATTGTTGTAGTTTTTAAAAGAATGTAATTGTAGCATTCATGCTAAAGAAATCTTAAACAAACCAGCAAAATTATGTTTTCTAATTTGAAAATATATAGTTTAATTATTAAACTGACATAAAGAGATGAAGGGTATACTATCTTAAATAACATCCATTAATTACCTAGGTATTTTTTTACTATTACTGTGTACCGCGGGAGAAAAGAGCTATTATTCAATGGAAAACTTTGTTTATTTCTCTGGTTAGTAGTGGGAAAAGCCATTTCACTTTACGCGTGTTCTTTTACTCCAATAGTTGAGCAGCTCACAAGGCATATGGACCTCTATGAAAAAATTCTGATATGTAAGCATGAGCCTCGGGCAGTATCACTACATTTTTTAACTTTCTTGGTTCATAGCTACCCTTAAAATATCTACACGTAATTCAGCACTGCAGGCCGAAATGGCAGTTTGTCTTCAGTTTTCACAATTCTTCCATATTAATATCCACTTCCTGTTTTTTATCTGGTTATCGGCCTTCCTCCTTTAAGTTTCACTGTTCCAACTGAATGAGGTTCACAAAATGCTTGTTCAATTTTCCGTATCCATCCTTGGCCCTTCTGCTTCCCTCCAAGTACCTTGTGCAAAAGCTTTTTCCCTCAAATAGGTATTCTGGTTTCTTCTGTTTCAATTAAAGTCTATACTTCGCTGCCATTTTGGATAATAAAATTCTGCGATAAGTGCAACAGTAAATGCTTTTAGTGATATTGTTATAATATATATATATATATATATATATATATATATATCAGTTCAAAATCGCATTTTGACTATTAGCCGCCGTTTTGATAAGCGCCTTTGATCAAATATCTCGTAAATTATTTCTCTCTCTCTTTATCATTTTATTTTACAAAACGCTTCCATATCGTCGACAGCGTACGAGAAATTTAAAGATCAAGCTATTATGTAATAATATTTTCCTCTATAATGGTTAAATTAATAATTTAAGGTCTGGTTTCTCATTCGGTGTCATTTTTCAAGTTTGGTACCTAACCATAGCTTGGAGTCAACTATCAGGCCCAATCGCTGGTTAACTTCCAAGTTAGGTAACTGTGACTTGGAAGTTGACTATCAGTTGTCTGCGAATTCGTTATTCAAGTCGTCGTTAACAATCTATAAACAGTTGATGCGGCAATACTCCTTTTATGCCATGATTATCTGTTCTTTGTGTATAGTGATATTCGGTATTTGTGTTCATCCAAGAAAAGTTATGTCACTGTCAAGCAGATTAGGTTAGACATTGAGGTTTGGCCACAGCTCGATGGCCACAGCTTACCAGTTCTCCCATTCACGGGTATTACGTATCTTGAAAAGTGACATTATGTCGATATTTTTGACATTGTATTGGTTTTTTGTGACTGAGTGTTTCCTAAACGTCACGATGCTCCAGTTATTGATGTTTGGCTCTGACGTGATGTAAAATCTGCTTCAGAGATGGCATTACTGGAGGTCTAAGCTGAAAGTTGTATACTACAGCAATGCATAGCTGCATAGTGAGGACTTGTGTGCTAATAATATGTGTTAATGATAATTCCATTGGATTCTTTTCTCAAATACACTTACTTGAGATTCAAAGCTAGAAATTACTCGCGCATCCAGTTTTTCTTATCCATTCTGGAAATGACATATGCAAATTTGCTGATATTAAAAAATGAGAGAGATAAGAAATAATTATATTCACTGTACACAAGCCTACTTGCTAACAGTAATTACACACAACGGTGGTGATTTCCCGTAATTCTCCTAAAAGTTTTTGAAATCACAAGAAACGTAAAAAATCGTAATGTATAGCTTTGAACATAACCTGCCTCCTGAAAGGACAACATATAAATATCCCGTCGGGCACAGCTAATAGATATACTTCATTGGCAGCATTTTCAGTGATGATTTTCACACACAGCAAATATCACTGATTTTATACATACCTACACATAATCATCCAGATGCGTTATTGCTATTCAACCAACTTTCTTCCCGGAGATGAAAACTACAGACTACTCGGCTTCACAAAACATATGCAACCATCAATGCGTGTAGTTGAGTCATATCTCCATAGATGGACGCTCACAACAATCCTAGTGAGCAAACGTGGAATGACTGTTTGCACCATAAAAACTACCTAGTCTGCAAGATGACATTTTATAGCCTTTTTTAAGGTTTTATAGGTTTTTCAGATAATGCTCGTGCCGGTTGAAGTTAGACTACAACCTTAGGCCAAACCTGACGTTTTAAAACGCTTTTTGAGAGTTAAATTCTGGTTAGTAGGTAACCAGGCTGCAGTTAATTTGCAATTGAAAAAAACCGTGCCTTAGTTGTCCGTAAAGTCGTTTTTCATGTTCTGGCTAACACGTTGATCTGTCAGAGCTGTGTCTGAACTATAATGTTCTGTGCAATTTGTGATGCTCGATATTTGTGTCTCACGTGGTACTACGGGTTCCGTAAAAAAGGTCAAAGGCTGCCTAGTTGCCAGGCTTCGCCTCCCCACCACCACCACTGCTACTACTGCTACTACTACTTGGGTCTCGTGTCATCCGTAACGACTCACGCCACCGCCAAGCAAAAAAGGTTAGGTATTGCAATTACTGTCAGTAAAAAATGCGGTTTGAGGGTTACCAGTAAAAATACAGTTAACTTGATATTGTAATTCAGGGCTTACGGGTATATAGACAACTGTTTTTTTATAGAGTAAGATTTGCTACAAAAAAAGTTGCTGGATAATTTGAAGGCTCTTGACGAAGTACTTATAAAGAGTAAAAGTTGAAAATTTGTATCAAAACAGTCTCGCGGCATACTCTGCAAACTACGTACATACGTTGTCCACGTGTCAGCATACACTATTTCACTCATTATCTATGACTAGATTACCATTTGAAAGTAAATCCGGGAAAATCTAATATTTTTGAATGATTCGTGACGTGTTCATTGCTTAAAGCTACTCACTCCCATATGTATATCGCTAACAGACACATACAGGGTGACTTTGAAGTTGAGTCATTAATTTTCAGATAGTGATTGTAGAAGGAAGATAAACCAAAATATGTGTGTAAAAATAAAAAAAAATTAAAAAAAAATGTTACCTTGTTTTATAAAGTATCCTCCCGACAAGTATTTCAGTGCGGACCTGTATTTGATCGTGCGGTCTTGGAGCACCGGCATCCCCTGTGAGGTCTTCAGTCACCTGATTCACGAGCCCTTTGTACTACATTAACAAAGGCACGAGGGGTTGGTTGCACTCGATTGGGAAACCGATTTTGTAAAGACTCGCCCCCCGGTAAATAAGAATCATGTCCACAAGTTCAGCATTTTCGTAAACATGTGCCATTTTTTATTTCGTTTAAGCCACGCAACAAACACACTAACAAACACTCACGCGTTACCGACTGAATCCAACTAAAAACATCGTGATAAGCGTTTCAAATTCTTTCGCTTTTTTGTTTCCGATGCGATGAACCGCTGCGGATTATATCCGTTGTCGCCAAACACGAGCACATAATAAAGGGTGTCCCAAAATTAACGCAAGATTTGAATTAAATAGAAAATGCCATTTTTAGTCTTTTAATAGTTATATTTTTATTGACTCATAAAGTACATAGGATAGGGTTATGTATGGAATAACACATCGGACAAATGGCCTCCACGGCTTTGCATGCACATGCGCACTCTTTTGTCGAAATTTTCCATGACCCTTCTGCATAAATGTGGCTGAATTTCGTTGATGCAGCGTTGAATCTCCTCCTTTAATGCACGGGTGGTTGTGGGCTTGTTGACATAGACTTGTGATTTCAAATAACCCCATAAAAAGAAGTCTAATGGTGTTAAATCACACGATCTAGGAGGCCAATTTTGATCACCGAAACGAGAGAGTACACGACCGGGAAATGTCTCATGCAGTAATTGAATTGTTTCACGGGCTGTATGACATGTGGCACCGTCTTGTTGAAACCACATATTGGGTACATCAATATCATTCAATTTTGGCAGAAAGAACTGTGTAATCATGTCGCGATATCGAGCACCAGTAACAGTCACTGCTTGACCAGCATCATTTTCAAAAAAATATGGCCCAATTATGCCTCCAGCCCAAAATCCACACCAGACAGTCACGCGTTGTGGGTGCATTTCTTTTTCGACAATCACACGTGGGTTCTCCGAACCCCAAATGCGGCAATTTTGGCGATTGACACAGCCATCAAGATGAAAATGTGCTTCATCGCTTAGGATGATTTTGCTTGAAAAATCAGGGTCCATTTGTTGATGTTCAATAATCCATTCAACAAACTCTCTTCTCTCTGCATGGTCATTAAGCTTCAATTGTTGTGTTAATTGAAGTTTGTAAGCATGAAGACACAGATCTTTGGTGAGTATACGCTGTAGAGAGGTTCTTGACATTTGCAATTCTTGTCCACGACGTCGAATTGAGGTTCCTGGATTGTCCGCAACACTCTCACGCACTGCTTCGATATTCACATTTGAACGGCTTGTTTTTGGACGACCAGTGTGTTTGGCGTCTCCAACGGATCCAGTCTCCATGAATTTTTCAATTAATCTCTTCACAGTTGACGAAGTTAAAACACTATTCCGGCCATATTTTGTATGAAATTTTCGAACTGCAGCCGCCAAGCTTTCACTATTTTTGAAATATTCTTTAATAATGAAGACACGTTGTTCTATCGTGTAACGCTCCATTTTTCATAACCCTATACTGTTAGCTGTCAAATTGCTTTTTTTCAGGGTTGCCAACACTTCACTGCACAAATGGCGGCAAATTCAAATCTTGCGTTAATTTTGGGACACCCTTTATTATTATTGAGACAGGGCGGTACTCAAACTTCTAAAGGGCTATAACTTTGTTACTTTAATTTTACCAGAAAAATGTTAAAGGAAAAAAACATTTCTTTTGATCAGATCTACTCACTGTTAAAATAAATGACTCAACTTCGAAGTCACCCTGTATATTTGCCACTGCGTAACTTTAGCAATGGCAGCAGCTGTTTTAATGGAAGAGGAGATGTAGTAGATAATGCTGGTTTGGGCCGTCACTCCCTTTCTATCAAAATCTTTGCAACATAAAATGCTTATATGTGGACATCGTACATCCGTAGCGCGCGGAGTATATTTTAATACAAATTTGAGAGTCACTAAGCTGTCGAAAAAACGTAGATGACCTTTTCTGTAGCACATTTCATTCTATACAAAAAAGATGGTTGTATATACTTAGACATTATATGGTATCACTACAGTAGCTTTATGCTTGAATTTCTCGTAAACTGTTGACTGTACGACAAAAAAAATAATTCCCTGCAAAATTATTTAAATTACTTTTCTATATAGGACCGACCACTTGAACTATTTGTTTAAACGCGTCTATCTAAATAGCAGCTAATGCCCCAGTCCTATCATGACACCAATTTCGATTCATCATCATAAAGCAGAAATCCAGTGACATCAATAAAATATTTCTTGTTCCACTTTTTGTAAGAGAACGTTACTTGGAGCATCGTGGAACAGAGGTTATTTATGCATCTAGGAGGTAGTCTGTCCATTTCATTGGACGTAAGCGCCCAATATGCTTACAAAATCAAAGTAATCACCAAGTGGAGAGAAAAGTGTATAAATTAACGGTAAAGTAGTATTGACTGGCGCTACTTGAAGCAACATATCAATACGGACTGTTTTCGTTATTGGTAAGCATTTCAAAATAGTGGACAAAAGTTACTTTACCACCACAGCGATAACATAAGCTCGTAAGCTGAAAAGTGGCACTCAATGCTCAGAAAATAGTAGTAGTGCATATATTTTATTGGTTCTGTAATGTTCAGATTTGCTTTCGGTATGTACTTTTATCTAAAATATTTTTCTTACATTTACAGTCTTTCGATTTAGTGACTGTGATGTTCTGTGAACTGGTTGGTCTGAACTCTACTACAGTACAGGATGCTATGGAGTTAGTTAGCACGATGAATGCAGTATTTTCATGTTTCGATTCACTGATGGACACATATAATGTGTACAAGGTGAGTTTTTGAATTCTTGTGTACTTACGAGTACCTAACGGATTCTACATAGGATAACTTACAGATGTAATTGGATAATATTCAGACTTGGTGTCAAGTAAATAAACTTCGTTTGAATGTGAAAAAGCGTAATGTAGTGTTTACAGAAGGAAAAGTCCGGTTGCCTTTGACTACATATATATAGGCGATGTGGTACTCTCCGGGACACAGAAAATCTGCCACATATTGACTCAACTTTTGTTGAGCATATCTAAGGCCCGTATCGTCAGTCGTCCCTACAATTGTAGGGCGCCTTTATGGCCTCCTTGATTGTCATAGTTTTCTACTTCTCCCTGTCAGCGCTCTATTTTGAGGTTATCTCACAAACATCTATTTGCATCAAATTGTGCTTGCTTTTGAGTTATATCATGTTTTAACAGCTTGAAATTTCCTACAATTTAAAAAGAAAACATATCTGTAGAATAAGAGAGCGCTGACGCTGACACGGGACAAGTGTAATCTAGAAATTTTTGAAGGAGGGAAAGGAGTTTTCTACTTCTCCGTGTCAGAACTCTATTTTGAGGTTATGTCACAAACATCTATTTGCATCAAATTGTGCTTGCTTTTGAGTTATATCATGTTTTGTCAGCCTGAAATTTCCTACAATTTAAAAAGAAAACATCTTCACAATAGGAGAGCGCTGACGCTGACACGGGACAAGTGTAATCTAGAAATTTTTGAAGGAGAGAAACAAGTATGACAATCAAGGAGGCCATAAACGCACCCTACAATTGTAGGGACGACTGACGATACGGGCCTAAATAATTGTTAACGCATCATTAAAGGCGTATGGATTCATAGCGAGAAAGTCCCGGGAATTCAATAATGTTCAGGCTCTTACCACCATGTATTTGACTTTTGTCGGTTCAAAATTAGGATCGACCTAACCCAACCCTATCATACTGCGTGGTTGTCTCATAGCCCAACTTCGCCAAACTTAGAGATAACATTGCGTACTATACCCTATTCGTAGTCCATTTACACACAAAAAGATGCAGCACGGCAAAGAGGCAGCCGCCTAAGCGTTGCAATAGCTATTGGACATTCGGCCATAAAACTCCTAACGAGTGTAGGATTCGACAGGGTCGAACTCATACTCGGGGTATCGCCGGCACGCTGACTCCACCAGTTGCTGTTCATATTCGGTGCATACATAGCGTGTGTTTATACGGTAGCATCCCGTCTACGTATACAGCAGATGAAACTGAGAATATTTCTCCCAAGGGTTCCTTCAGCCATGTTCCTTCTTCAGTGATGTCTCTTCCCCGAAAACGTAACAAGAAGGGACATTTGAATATTAAGGCAAAAGAAATTGTCCTTAACGTTTATAAGAGCGAAATTTTAGAGTATCCTGAAATGAAAATTCATGATATTGAAAGACGTGTGGCGAACAAAACAGGATTGTGTCCTGAAACAATTTTCAACATTGTTAAAGAACATAAAAAAAAAACAAAAAATTGTCTCCACCTCACAAGGAGCTGCATTACACGGAGCTGTTGGATCGGAATGCCATCAGACGCAAAGTCCATCAATTTTTTGAAAGGGAGGAACTTCCCACCATAGAGAAAGTATTGAAGGAGGTTAATAGTGATCAAGACTTACCTACTTTTGACATTTTGAGTATAGAAAATGGGACAGAAGTAGTGTACTTTGATGGACAGACAAGAGATTATTTTATGGAGAAGAAATTATTTAAAATCAATAACGAAATACCGCGACCAGGGCAGGAAGATTTATTAATTGGATGAAAAACTGGATAAATATTGGACATACAAAACCCAAAGTATGGACAGACTCTACAATTAAATCAGCAAGACAAGCCTTCTTAGCTGGACTAACCACTGGCCTAAAGAATTCGTCAGGTACGTGTATCTAACCAATTCGTCATTTGTGTTGTAAAAATGGTGTCAAGTAGACTAAAGCTATGAGCTCACGCTGTTTTCTTCAAAACTATATGAAGTAATCATTTCCAGAAAAAGGAAAACGATTTGTTATCTGTCACATTAGCAGTGAATATGGCTTTGTGCCCACTACCCTATGGGCATTTGAGTCAAAGAAAGCGCCCGACTACCATGAAGAAATGGACGGGATCTCATTTGAACGACGGTTTGAAGAAACGCTTCCAAAGCTTGATGACAATGACGTCATTGTACTTGATAATGCTGCATACCATACTAGAAAACTAGAAAAAAATCCGACAAGAAAGGCGGAAATTCAACAATAGCTCCTCTCAAAAAACATTAGTTTCAATGAAAATATGGTCAAAGTAGAACTTATCCATCTAGTCAGACAGAACAAATCTAAATACAGGGTCCGTCAGAAAAAACGCATGTTTTTTGAATGGGTACTACATCGAGTGGGCTGGCCCCGTATCGGTGGGGAAGGGCGTGCTGAATAGTGGGAGAAGTGCCGTTTCAGTTGGCAAGATGGTTTGGAACGTTGAGCATTTTCATTTAGATGGTACGTCAATAAATTGTCGATATTGGTCTCCAGTGAACCCCCAACAGTTGCATGAGCACCCCCTGCATACCCCGAAAGTTACAGTTTGGTGTGCAGTAGGCCCAACGATGATTATTGGCTCTTATTTTTGGGCAAATATAAAATACTAGATGGCTTAAAACAATGGAACATTCAAATTTTCTGTCGTGAAAAAATTGTTTTATGAAGCTGTCAACAAAGTGACGGCAAACCATTGGAAATATCCGTCACGGAACAATCGAAACAAAGATGTGGAATCTGGACAATATGATCGATATTCAAATTGAACTTGTAATAATATTAACCGTGCGAGCGATGATTCAAGTACTTCCAGCGAATAATGAATTGTGATAAGTATGTGCACTTCTTTCTATACAAATAATCCCTTATTTTGTAAAATTATCCCAAGACCATTGAGAAAATACGGGCCTGTAGAATCTCGGTTTTGGGCATTTTGTGTTTTGTCTAGGCGTAAGTGGACTACGAATGGGCTGGTTATAGCTGTCGTATATACTAAGCGTGGGCGCCCATTGGAGGGGGGGATATGCCCCTCTGGCTGCTGCTTGATGATTATAATATTCTTAATATAGGGCCAACTTCTTAGACAAACAATGGTAAGTGTTTTTGTACTCCTCAAAACAGCGCCTCCATAGAAATCATTTGTTTGAAGATATTCTTTATTAATACAAACATAACCTTTTCAGGTTGAAACAGTGGGTCAAATATACATGGCTGTCTGTGGGGCCCCAGAACGCAACGAAAATCATGCGCAGAATATCATCGATGTCTCTCTTTGCATGGCTAAGCACGTCAAGCAGATGCAGATGCCCTCTAGGGCCAAGGTTGACATTAGAATAGGTTAGTGTTTCCTTAGCATTGATACGAGTGGAAACCAGATTGAATAAAGATGTTCCGAATTCTGTTTCCGCATTTGATAGGAACTACTATATACACAATGTGTTTCAAATTCGACCCTCACCATTGGGATCTCAGAAACTGCAAGATACGAAGTCACTTAAATGAGGGCAAGGTTGCGCATTTAGGTAAATGTTTATAAAGTTTCTAAATTCTCCGGAGAGAGACGACAAAAAAAAGCAAATATTCCCAAAACCATTATAATTTTTTCCTGACTATTTGTGGCGGGATTTCAAAATAACTTGCACATTAACAATGGCATAATTAGAATTTAAAAATGGCGTTTCGTCTCTGGTCCTCCATCAACTTTACTTTTTCTTATGGACGCCATATTGGATTAGCTTTTCTGATTCCAAAAATGTATCATACGGTATACATTGGCATTGCCAAATTTTAGTTAATGCAAAAAAAGCAGAATCTCGAAGGTACGCCTTGAAATTATTAGATGGTCATTCGTTCCATACCAGGTTTATCCCAAAATCACATTTGATTTTTTCTGACTTTATTTGAGATGAATACAGTGATGTATTTCCTTAGTTAGCCATGAACTTGACCGGTGTGAAGTTGGCAGACAAAATTTAGCAAAATTTCACCCCCAAAAAAATGATTCCCCAAAATGATTTATATCTCAATAAAATACTCTATTACAGAGACAATTCATGGGCTAGGTGGCATGGTGTGAGAAAGCTTCTGAAAGGCTGGCAGATAAAAAATATGCTAAAAAAATTCATTTTCACCCCCAAGGAAATGATTTCCCAAAATCAGTTGTAGTAAGTGGACAACTGCCGAACCAATAAAAGTTATGGATAACGGTTTGGTAGAAAACATTTATTTCTACCGACAGTTGCCGGATAAAAGAGCTTACGTAGTATTAGTAAACAGGGATCTGTACTTTTCAACTAAAGAACTGCTTCAGGATGATTTTGCTACACTGGATGATAGGCAGTATCTAAGTAATTTCGTCGTAGATCACTGCCTGCACACAATCAATAGATCCAGCGAAAACAAATTCCAAATCGTTTCAGTTTCGAAATCATCGATAATATTATTTTCTGACAACAATTATCCCATTTCCTTCGTTGAAAGCGTTACGTTCACCAAATATTTAATAGTTATGCCAGTTCTCCAAAATAATCATTACACATTTCTGATTTTCTCTATCACGGAAAATTTAGTGACGTTTCTTGATCCCATGGGTAATGAGTTACTCTTCAAAAATACTTATTGTGAAAGACTGTCAACATTTTTGAGGTATAAAAACATAAGCATAACCAAGTTCAATTTTAAAATACCAGACCACGTTATACAAAAAGACGGTTATAACTGCGGTGTCTACATAATACATTTTTTCCAAAAACATGAGGCTGGACTGTCAAGTAGATATAGATGAACAAAGGATAAATTTCAAGTGGATGTTACTGCGCAACAGCTCAGTTATGACGGATATTTGCCTTTTGTGTGCCTGTTCCACAGCTCGAGATAAGGCAGATTGTATTTTCGCTTGTAGGCTGTGTAGATGAAACATGCATTTGAAGTGTCTCCTTACAGCAGCCGAATTGGAGAAAAATATAGACGTAAACGAGAAAATGCGTAATAAAATATGTGACCTCTGCAGAGCCAACTAACTAAATGCTTCACCTAGATATAATACGTTTCCATTAATATATATATTTGGCTGCCCCTTCTTTAGTAGATACCATATACCGTGATCTGGTCCACTAATTTCAGAAATTTTCTGGGGAATTATTTCCTTGGAGGTGAACATGAATTCTTACTTATTTTTCTTACCTGCTATTTCTCCTTGTCGTCTAGCTTATAAATAGTCTCTATAATAGAGTATTTTTTTGAGGTACAACTGATTTTGGGGAATCATTTCCTTGGGGGTAAAAATTAATTTTTTTAGCATATTTTTTATCTGCCAGCCTTTCAGAAGCTTTCGCATACCATGCCACCTAGCCTATCAATAGTCTCTATAATAGAGTATTTTTTTGAGGTACAACTGTTTTTGGGGAATCATTTCCTTGGGGGTGAAAATGAATTTTTTATCATATTTTGTTATCTGCCAGCCTTTCAGAAGCTTTCTCACACCATGCCACCTAGCCTATAAATAGTCTCTATGATAGAGTATTTTTTTGAGGTACAACTGATTTTGGGGAATCATTTCCTTGGGGTGAGAATGAATTTTTCAGCATATTTTTTTATCTGCCAGCCTTTCAGAAGCTTTCTCACATCATGCCACCTAGCCTATAAACAGTCTCTATAATAGAGTATTTTTTGAGGTACAACTGATTTTGGAGAATCATTCCTTTGGGGGTGAAAATGAATTTTTTTGCATATTTTTTTATCTGCCAGCCTTTCAGAAGCTTTCTTACACCATGCCACCTAGCCTATAAATAGAGGATGTCGACACCACTGGTCATTCGGGTATCTTCGGCAAATTGTCCGCTAAATTTTGTCTGCCAACTTCACACCGGTATGAACTTGTTGTTGGATGGAAGTTATAAGGGACTAAAAAGGAATGGCAAAACCTGAACAAAACATGAATATTTTATTGACAGTATATACTAGACAGTAATAACAGTAATAATCATAAATAAGAACAGGTAAATCATAGCACATGTTCGCAACGTCCTTTATTGTTTGGTGTACATTGAACTCTGCTTGATTTACCTGCTTCTCAGTCTTCCATACTCGGTGGCTATGCGTAATTTGAGGTACCTGGTCTCGTTTACGAAATAATTGAAATCTGATAATTTCAAGGCCTACCTAGGAAATTTCGTTTTTCTGAAATAACTAAGGTTTGACAATGTCAATGTATGACATATGATTTTTCAAATCAGAATTAAAAATCCGATTCATCTGCACAAAAATCCAATATGACGACTATGAGAAAAAATAAAGCAGATGCTGGAGGAAAAATTGCGAAACATCACATTGAAATTCGAATACTACCATCTTGTATAAAAGAAAAAGTGGCAATGGTAATGGGTAATGGGTAAAGGCAGAAAAAAGTTAAAACAATTTTGGGAAAATTCGGTTTTCTCCGTCTCTCTCCGGAAGTACTTTGAATTTCTAAATTTTTCAAGCGGCATTATGTTGATTGCCTTAATATCCAACTTTTCTCCCATTTAAGCGACTTCGTACCTCTTACAGTTTCCAAGGTCCCAATGGTGAGGGTCGAATTTGAAACAGCCAGCAGGTATTTCATGTTTCTGAAGTATTTCCTGTATTGGGTGAATGTTCTTGTCAGAAATAAAGATCCATTCATAGAAATATGAATTTTGAAACCCTTTCCTTTATTTCTTTTTCGTGAACTTTTTAAATATATGTATATTTTTCAAAATTTGAGTTAAGGTAACAAATTGGACGAGAGCGAACGCAACTGCTAACGCAGTATGTTATTGTGTAACGCGTCCGCGGATCTGGGCAACACGTCCAAAAAAAGATTGATATCCAAATGAATAAAATAGAGTCGATGAAAAAAAAACAGGCTTATTTATGAAGAAACACAAACAGAATCCCAATGCACGTAGTCTTTTATAGTCTGCAACTTCACTGGTACCGCTTTTTTAACTAATAGTAGGTACTGATTTCGTTTGCTCAACTAACCGTGTACAACGCTGTTTCATGCTTGCTGGTAATAACCAGCATACTGTAAGTGGAACAAAAAGACGGAGCAAAATAACTAGTATAAAGATAATAAAAGTGTGTCAATTGTTTATTATTAGTTACTAAATGAACTCAGTAAAAAAATATAAGCCAAAGTACCACCCCTTTTATTTTAGTATATTCTAGGTGTTCATTCTGGAATGGTCGTAGCTGGAGTTGTTGGAATTAAACTACCTAGGTATTGTTTCTTTGGAGACACTGTTAACACAGCTTCAAGGATGCAATCGACTAGTGAGGTAGGTGAATAGCTGTTATTATGTTTGTATATAATCTATTATCGTATAGCTAAAGCAAAATCCGGATACCAGTTAGAGGTCAATGTCAGAGTTAGCTATCAAACCACTAAATGCTTCATTCATAAAATAAATGGGTCATACGTAGTTAATATCAAAGCTCAATAACAGAAAAAGACAGGTATATGTTGGTAGTGATTAATTTTGCAGATAACGTAGCATGTGCCTACTGTATACAAATTCGTCAGAAAATGGTTGGTAAACGTAACTGCTATACGTTGTGGGACTTTTCGATACATACTAAGATTCTATTACTTTGCTAGTTGCTCATCTTAAGTCTTTGCGTCTAAAAGTATAAGTGCTGCTGCTTTCATCTATCATAATGCTACTGATGATGCTTCTTAGCGTGCAAGTTCGACCTAGAGGAGGTACTTTAGTTATAGCATCATCTCTGATTTTGTGCTACTTATGCGATCACCGTGCTGTACTCATACTCATACAAATCCAATAGAAAATACATCTTTGTCTAGTCATTATTATGCAGTATTTGGAAAAGGAAGAAATACTGTAATATAGTGCCTTAGTCGAAATACCAATGGAGAATAAATCGTTGAAACTATATACATATTTTTATGAGGCTATAACAATATGTAATAATCATTAAGTACTAATAGTTGAAAATTCCAAATCTTACAGCCTGGCATGGTCCATATATCCAAAGTCACAAAGTGTCTACTACCACCAAATGGATACGTCTTACGAACTAGAGGATTTGTGAAACTGAAGGTGAGAAAATCGAAGCTACAACTGTATGCACTGTAAATGATTAGTGTGCGTACCCTACTATTTAACTACTTTTGTGTTGTTTAATCCACTAAAATATCCTTTTTGTTCGCTGTTACGCTTAAGAGATAATTGAAGACATATGTGGATAAAGGTGTTATGTCACAAAATGCAAGTTTAGAGTTATTTAGGAAATGTGATTTGATTTGGAACTTTTTCATTTATTTTATGGTTCTGATTAAAATCACTTGTTGGATATGCTGAAGTATTTTTATTGTATTAGTTTTAAGATGCTGAAAAATTATTAGTTTTGCAACCGCAAAAAATGTACATATTCCTTTATCCACTGAAAATTAAACTGTGATAGAACAACAGATGTGGAAAGAAGTGTCAAATACTTTATTATTTGAAACAGATAATGTTAACAAAGTGTACAATATTAGAAGATACGTGTTTAAAGTGCCACTCTTTTCTTTTTTGGATCTGGTAAGTTCTCATGTATTATTCCTTCGTAGTACCATCCGTATGCTTCATCTACAAACTTTATTTGATATTTGAGGTTCTGTAGCTTTTCTGTAGTTAAACCTCCAAACTTTTCCTTTATCCTCTTTGGCTGACATTCTGGGCGGGTGGAACTTTGCACTTTCCAGGGCACCGCGGCTGCTATGAGGAGCTTAAAATAACTTTGTTAATCCAATTTTTGGACTGCCTGAGATTAGTAGAACTGTGTAAAGCTCCCTCACGTAGATTGTTCCACATATAAACATGGTTGATAATGGCTATGAATTCGTCTTGTTCCCTCAAAGCATCTACATTCTGAGCAAGAGTATTCAGAACATCATCCAAGTGGTGTTTATTAGATAATAAAAATGGAGTCTTAATATTACCTGTGTTGAGTGACAGTTCTTGGGAGTAGGTTTTTAGATTGAGATCTTTATCAACAATTTAAGAGTGCGTTATAATAGGGGTACAGTAACGCTCCTATCTGTCCTTTCGTCATGGAAGGTGAATGCTCAAATAATGCTGTCCTCAGCAAAGCGCAAATTGCATAGGTACTCTGGTGTTTTTTGTAATCACTAAATCACTACGAGGGATGGCGTTGAGCCATCCTTTGCACCCGTTTTCATTCACCGGGAATGAAAATACATGTACCTTAGGACCTTTTGCGTAATTACCGGCACGACTAGGAACGTAGCACTTGTAATGCATTTTGAAAACTTAGGGAAACAATCGCGAGACATAAGTATAAGTTTAAAACAATAATTTAAAGTTTACAAAGAAACATACATGATAGCAGCTCAGAATTCGAGGTTAGTTGGCTGCTAGCAGTATTTAGGTATTAGATTGCGGTTTTGCCACATATTCAATTTTTGCATGAAATTTTCCCAGGTGACAGATCGAACGTAAAATCAAAACTGTATTCTTGACATTCTGAGGCCGATCAGAAGGAATAATCACATCATCATTGAAGCTGTGCAGGCCCCAGTATATCTTGCAATTTCTCCCATAGGGAGTTACAAACTAATTAGTAGAGATTTCGAAACTTCATAAGAATATGTATAGGACTACTCTGCGTGACATCACAACCTTTTCGCAGCTCAGTTGTTAGGCCTTGTTCTCTCGGTGGTGTCGGTACTACTGGCCGGCCGGCCTACTACCGCCGCGCCGGTGCGAAAGGGTCCCGAGACTGTCCGTTAGAGAAGAGTTATCGATCGGATGGACAGCCTTCATCTGAACAGCATCGAGCATGAATAATATCGGGGCGGTCGAACGTCAGACATGTGAGCAGTCTAGCTAGGTCTTATCTGGGTCTTGTACAGAGTGAGTAGTTTATCTGGAGAAAAATACTCCTTTTCCCGAAACAAATAGCCTAGCTTTTTCCCAACAGCTGCCGCTATTGTTTTCGCTAATCTGAACACCGACCAGCCGAAATAAACGGTTCTTTGATATCGAAACCGGATGAGCGCTAGGGTGCTTCTTGTAAGTCAAGGTACAGTACTGTGTTTTGGAAGCCATAAACTGTACCAGATTGTTGCGTCTCCAAGCGGTGATAACCTCCATGTGTATCATCAGAGAGGAAGTCGCCGCTTTAACCAGCGCACGGGCAGATATTGGCTTGTCACTCTGAATTCCTGCAGGGCTTCTTCTTTTCTGCTAATAGTTTGGGAATTCTTTTACCTCTACTCTCCATATTCTTTTTACACACTATAGCATTAAATAGCCGAAATTTCAGCACTGCAACTTGACACGCATTTGAAACCCACTATACTCGCAAATGATAACCTCAAGGTTGGTAAGGCAACTAACTTATTCGCATATACTTATTTACTCGAAGGAGGATATAACTCTTTTATCAACTGAAATAGTCGCAAATCTCCCTCAACTTGCGATCTTTTTCAACTGAATTTTTTTTACAAACGATTATCAATATATATAACTGATAACAAGTTACATAGGTATGTGAGGGGGCCGAAAACGGCAAAAATGACAACAAATGTGACACAACACCTTTATCCACTTAGGTTTTCAATTATATGTTAGAAAAATTTATTGTATTTAATTTTTTGAGTTAACATTTAGCATTTGAACCAGAATCTTTATCATTGTTTTCCAGGGAAAAGGAAGCATGGAACATACTGGGTCTTCGAAAATATCTATACTGAAGAAGGCTACGTTGATTGAAGGCAGATATCAATATTATTGTATAGTATTCATGTATATATATATATATATATATATCTTAAATCATTAGATTTAGAAATAACTTTTAACAAGAGGTTTACATAAGTGACAGTTACGGTGTCTCACCGGGTATTGAACAACAGGATATAACAGATTTATACAGTCGTATTGATGACTAAGTATTACAAGAAACAGCAAAGACCCTGGCTAAGCAACAGATTAGCGAGAAGTTGTTATCGAATGCTGATGCAGCGTCTAGTGCAACATTGTATATTAACTGCGTGGTTCATATAGCATATTACATATACACCTTCGGAAAAACCATTATTATACATTATGATGAGGAAGAGAGATGGAAATATACAAAAGTATGTAGGTGCGTGAAAGACACTCGATTGTAGGATCCTATCTGGCAGCGTCGGAGTGTGAGGGACAACGGGGTAAAGTAGAAGAGTGATAAAAGAGAGATGGCAGAACGGGCGCTGGCGCCTGCCGCTTAGACGGATGCGCTCAACAAATGCGATTTCTCCCATTCGCAGAGTTGTCGATACCAATATGTCATATTTCTAAGAAATCTAAGTCTACCCAAATTTCGGGAAAAATAGCTGCGGATTCCACATAAGAGTATTCCAAAAATGGAAAAAGTTCAAACTATTAAAATTGTATTAATGTTTCATGGTTCAAATCATATTTTCATGTTTGGATATTGTTGTATAAATGATTTTGTTATCACTATTCTTGTTGCCAGTAGAGATACAACAGTATTGAGAGAAATCATGGACCGCTAGATAGGGCTACAACTACCATATGACTATCAAATAGTAGTGATAAACAGGGTTTGTTTATAGCACAGTTGCCTGGTGTGGCAAATTTGCGCCATAGGGGCGATTTGACAACTTTGAAGGACAACTATAACGGGTACTATGGTGCCCGGTATTCGGGAATCTGGCAATACCTGATGATTCCTAACGTTTATTACGCCAGATTGTTTGCTGACTTGCGCAGTACAACATGACAATCAACGTGACTGAGCACCTGGTAACCCTGGTTTAAGGTGTTATATTTAAAGAGCTTGGGGCAGTTAGGTATCTAGGTCACATTTTTTAATGTATTTAGAGAAATCCGTAATGTTGAGTAAATACTAGATAACGTTTCTTGCTTAGTATGCTGAAATTTCTACAATAGACGTACATTTTGAGAACAGAGATTTGGTGACGACAAAATCGTAAAAATATAACGCATTTCGTAAAATAATTTCTTTGTTGAAAAGACTGTGGCTTGATGACCCATTGAACGAGTATATTGTCCCGCTCCGCTTTGAATATTCGAAACACTATACTCCAGCAGCATTCAGCTTCAATGTTATCTTTATGAAGTTCTAACGTCTAGGCCATGCTGATTGAAAGCTTGAATGAATCAACACTTAACTCTAAATTCCCCACAATTCGGGAAGCTCTACTCAAATTGGCGACACAGCATATCTGCCCATTATTCTCATTCGTGATACAGGTCTGCGGTCTGCTGCAAATTTCAGTATGCGTTGAGTCGACAGAAGAAGTACAGTAGATGCGCGCATTACGCATCAGTTCGATTGGACGTCCTGTGAACCGATTTCGGTGATTTCGAGATTTCACGAAATCACCTAAATCACTCTACTTATTTTTATGAATGGATAATTGGTTTTGTAGCAATAAAGGTTGCGTCTCATAACAAAAATAAGAAGATACCCACTCTAACAAAAATAGTACACTCTTAAAAATGTGTAACGAAAATAAAAAGACATTCTAACAAAAAAATAAGTTCTCAAAAATAAAACGCAATAATGAACACAAATGTTTCAAATGGTCCTTCACAGCTGGGGCTCAAAAACGTCTCCTTCATTCAATGAACAGTATGTCAGGCGGTTATAAAACTCCTGACGAACTCTCAAGAGGGTAGAAGGCTGTATTTGCCCGAGCGCTTCAACGATTTTCAACTGTAGGTTATGCAAATTGTCTGCTCTCTCATTGAAAGTGTAAACAGTACTTTTCACATAACCCCACAAGAAAAATCATTGGGCGATAGATCGGGTGATCTAGGAGGCCATTTTATTGTTCCGTTACCGCCAATAATCCGGTGGCCGAACACACTTTCAAGGTAAGTGTGTACGATCGCCTCATTATGCGCCGGGAATCCATCTTGGGAACCAAATATTAGCGAGATCAATGCCAAGCTGCCTAATTGCAGGAACACAAAGCTCCATTCGACGTATTTGTCTAAAGGAAATATTTCTTGAACCGTTCCAACCTTGAAGCTATGATAGCCGTTGCGATGCAAAATATTTCTTGTTGTTCTGGGTGTGAAATCGGCAATTGGTACCATTTCAGCAATTTTTCTGCTTGAGCATGGCTCAGATACTTCTGCAGCGGCAGAAACAGCAGTTTCGATCTTCTCCCTTTTCTCGCTAATTTTTGGTTTCCAACCTTCAGGGTGCATGCAGCTATGGCACTTATGTAAGCAGTCCACCCTCTTGAATTTTTCGTAGGTATTTATAACCGTTGCGTGAGACGGAATTGGCCGATCTGGGAAGCGTACCGCAAATAATTCAACAACCGCGCGTGCTGAATTATTCTGGATTTACCATTCTATCATTCGAAACTTTTCTTTTTGCGAGTACATTTTTAAGATATTTTGGATTAAATAAAGACACACCTTTCCTACACAAAACCCAACCGCAGAGTGAGTCATGAATCCCTTATCGTACTTGGCGACGGCACGCGCATTAATGGTAGGAAATATGTACGAATAGCGATGAAAGTAGATGAGCCGATGCGCTGTTGCCAAGAAATGATTTCCCATGTATAACAATGGTTTTTCCTAAGGTGTATGTTACTGTGACGGTCCTAAATTAGTGAATGTCGACATTCACCGGTGAGTGTCGACATACACCAAAGACCGAACGGTTTATAAATATCATTATACTTTCGGAGAATCGCCGGTGTATGTGACAAAAATAAATGGGTCGCGGTGAATATCGAAAATGACCTGTTGTAACTGGCTCTTCGCCGGTACCGTGTTGCCTTCGCTGCGCATCAGTCTTACGAAAGGTTTGAGAGCGGGTGCGTGCAAGCTTGTTAAGTTAATTTGATATTAGGCATTATATTATTTGTAATCAATGGCTACTGCAGTACGTCGTGATCAGTTTTAACAAAAGAAATGTATTCTAAAATCGTGTTTGAAGTGACTTCTGCGAAAAGTGAGTGCAGTACACCTCTGGACTATAGTCATTTAAACGTTTTG